TAAATGAAAATATGATTTTATTAAGAAATATTCTAAAATTTATAAGACTTTGTGTGTGCGTGTGTGTGTGTGTGTTGTATATTTCAAAATTTGAATTAATTTAAATTTAAAATATAAAAAATGAATTATATTATATTCGTGATCATGATCTCTCTGATCTGATCTGAGATCAGATCTCTTTTTATTGTCGGACATTTTTCTTTTTGTTTGTTTTTGTTATTGGACTTATAAAACTCATAAATTTCAAAAGAAACGGCACAAATAAAAGATAAAAGATGGATAAATCAGAAAAACTAGTACGAATCGTAAATATTGGTATAATGTTTTTGTGTGTATTTTCAAGGATAATAAAATTAATGTTTTACCCCTTTTTTTATTCCCCTCCCCTCCCCGACCCCTTTAAAGGACTGAAATCGATAAAAAGAAGTTCGTTAGGTTATTCACCGTTGTTTGGTTTTTTCTTCTTCTTTTTTTTTATTATTAAAACCGCAAACCACGATCATCGCGCACCGGTTGTTCTCAACTTTCACATGCATTTCCCTTTAAGATTATATTAGGTTTGATCTTGAAATACTGACCGTCGTAATATTTCTAATTAAAACACAATACATTTATATAATAAATACATTGTCATAATTAAAATTAAACGAAAAAAAAATTAATTCGATTAAATTAATCTCAATTAAAAATATTCGAATATAATATTGTAAGATTTGTTTATGATAATTCGGTAAACAGATAAAGAAGATATTGTTGAAGTATACGTATATGATAAAAAAAAACATTATTGTAACTCCGTATTAAATTTTTTAACACGCGACCACTATCCTTATCATGATTTTAATCTTCTTTAGCGAATTATTATGGAATATACAATATATATATATAAATGTTTTATTATTATCGTTTTATTATCGTTTAAATGAAAAAAAAAAAAACTCGGGTTATGGTTCTTTCTCTATCTCTTTTTCTCTTGTATAAGGAATCTCTTACTAATGTGAATTAAATAAAGAAAAATATTATACACGTAGTACGTAGAAAGACTACTATATTGATAAGAAGTACTCGTTAAGTGTAATTAAACGATAAATTGTTATCCGATACATCAAATTACTGTCATGGCATTTTATACATAACGATATCGTTCGACGAAATAAAGGATCACGATAAGAATCAACCTTTAACAGACTGCAACAATATATAATATTTAATTATCTCACTTTGAGAACACGTATCTGTTCTTTTTTTTCTTTTTTTTTTTTACATCCTACCTGTTTGCCGTAGGTACAAATTTCTTACTCGATTTTTAAATTAAACGCGAGTCCGTGGTTTTTTTTTTTCTTTTTAAACAAACGTGATTGAGAATGATTCAATAAAAGAAAAGAAAATAATAAAAAAGTATTGTAAAAATTAAATAATAGAATATTTAAAAAGAATTTGCGTCGGAATTAGACGATTATTTTTCTTTCAGATTTTTGTGTTCACATCAATTTTTAATAAAAAAAAAAAAAAAAAAAAGTATATCGTTGCAAATCAAAATTTTTATACCCATTTCATATAATAATCGGACAATTACGAATTTCACGTCGACAATATGTGACAATATTATTACGTAAATATTACGTTATATTAAGTAAATGAATGAAAAGAAATAATAATAATAATAATATCGCATGCGTATATGCGAAAAGATAATTATTTTATTTTCTTTTCTTTTTTTTCTTTTTCTTTTCTTATCTCAGACGTCCGCGTACAGGCCTGAATTTTTTGCGTGTCTTTAAATTCGCAATCATTATCATCGTGATTTATATACAAGCTAAGCCGGTTATCCTTGGAGACGACTTTCTATCGAAAGAAACAAAATTTTGTCTTTAATTCATTCATTGATCTCACCAATCCCGATATTATTAGGTCATTCCAAAAGTTTCTTTCAAATTATTTTTTTTTTTCTCTTTTCTTTTTTTGTTTTTGTTTTTACACGAACGAGGTATTTTTTACTGACACGAGTGATATAAGAAAATGTAAATAATTAATAACTAATTATATATTAGATGTGTTATAACATTTAAAAAAAAAATAATAATAATATAATAATATATGAGATAATGTAAAATTTATGTAATTGTTAAATAATGCAAGCAACTTTTTGCAAAACGATTTAAATATATGAGATAAAAAACGAAATAATAATAATAATAATAATACTTTTTGATTTTGTCAGCTATAGCATGATTTGTCTTTATTATGAAAATTCAAACCGTGAATCCAATCGAATTGTTTTAAACGATTAGTATTCCTCTGTTTTATCTCTTTCAGTGAAACAGAGAGAAATTATTTTTTCGCGGGAAAAAGAAAAATAAACTAGAACATCGTCTATGTCAAAACGGGAAAACTAACGTTTATATCCGTGTGCGATTTAGTTAAGGAAAAAAAAAAAAGAAAAGAAAAAAAAAATATAATAAAAATAAAAATCAAACTGTTAACTATATTTATTTGCACGCGCGTTCTCGCGATTCTCGTATAATATTATCGTAGTAAAAATATATCTTTCGCAATGAGTATAACAAAAAAAAAAAAAAGAAAAAAAAAAAAAAAAAAAATTCTTCGAATAATATCATCAATACGTGCACGAACGAATAATTCTTGCTTTCTTACATATATATATATATATATATACACATGTATACATATGTATATATATATTGATAGCCAATAATGTCGTTTCATCATACTTCATAAATCCAATTCTATCGATGTTCATTTCAATGAACGTTGGAATCTTTGAACGAGCGCCAAATTAATTCAAAACAAAAAATAAAAAAAAAAGGAGAAACTTCAATCGATGTTATTTATCGAAAGAGTATCAGTTATGTTATCGTTTTCTAACGTAATAAACAAATTTCGTACTTTATACGTTGTTTTCAATATTTTAAACGAAACATTAAATTAATTTACAGTGGAAAGAAAATGGACAAGTAAAAGAAAAAAACACAAAAAAGAAGGGGGTTGTTTTTTTTTTTTTTTTTTTTTTTTTTTTAATTTTTTTTTTACCTTTTTTTTTTTTTTTCTGCAATTCTCAATCCAACTTTTTCTTCAATGAATAATATAATAACCGGTAACCCATGGATATCGGCAAGATATTGTTACCCGTCGTTGTTACTCGTTAACACACGTACCGCGCGTTCGGATGTTTCCGTGAGACTGAACCAAAGTAATAAACGAACGCACAGCTGATGCGCCAAACGAATACTTACTACTACTACACTTACAATTAACCCGGCTTACTTTGCTATTCGTGCACCTTCGCTATTGCTCGAGTTTCCGATTCAGTTTCTTGGCATCATCGAAAGTGGTAAGACAGGTCGATGTGCAGCAGCAACAACTGCAGCAACTGCAGTAGACGACTCATGTGAACGAATAAAGAAAGAAAGAAAAACAATCTTTCGTCATTCTCGTTCGTCGTGGACCCTTTTTTCAACTTCCCCCTCCCCCTCCACCCAGCCCTCGCAGTCCTGAAAAATAAAAACGTCAAATCGAATGAATAAACTTATTTTATTGTTTTTTTTTTTTTGTTTTAATTATTTATCTAGAGTCGTGTTCGTTGTTTTATATTCAATTATTTTTAATAATTTATATCATTAGTTTATAATTAATAGAGTTATCTGTATAAAAGTGGTATTAAAATAATGCGATAATTGATAATTGATTGTATCAATGGATAGAAAAAATGTATTGTTGGGAAATAGTACAAAAATCATGTTAATAAATAGAGTTGAAAAGATCTATGCTCGTTTTTAAAACTCGATACAATGAGATGTAATTTATTGAGACAGTTCGTAACGATCGGTATATCGATGAAAATTTTCCATTAATACGAAATCTTCAACTGATTCATACTTTTTTTTTAATAGATTTTTACGTCGAATAACTAATGACCAACGTTTACGAGGGAATAAATTATTAATTTACATTAATCATTTTATCATATTTTATGATATATTATCGCATTTTTAATCTAATCTAAACACCAATAATCAGAATATTACTTTCCTATTATCATTTAGTTTTATAATTTTTCTTTCCTCCGATATGGATAATAAAAATCATAACATCCTTTGTATCATCTGTCATCGCGATGACATCATTACCGTGCATCCCCCGCATGACATGCATTTCCGTGTGTGTTCCTACAATTATACCATTAATTTATTTAAAATAACTCTCTTGACTGGTTTATTTAAATTTAACTCTTTACCTTGTGGAATAAAATTAACGCGAGATCCAATTAGAATGATTTTAAGAAACGTTTCTTTTTTCCTTTTATTCAAATATTTACGTTTGATTGTAGTGTTTATAAATGGAAAATTTTTCAAATAAATCATTCAATTTTACAATACTCTTACTGTCGTAATTTACTTTGTAATGTACACACAAACAATGTGCATACATTTTTATATTTTTTCTGTATCATCATATATTGTATAAGATTTATGATTAACGTACGAATGTCTTTGAATTATTAGACGGCGAGAGAGAGAGAGAGAGAGTTGAATTTTACGGAAGCTACTCGTTAGGAATAGTTGGCCGCAAGACGAGAGTCTCCGAGAGTGTAGAATTGATTTTATTTTGTGTGTTTAAAGTCTACTATTTAGAGGTGGCTGCCAACATACGTACTTTGGGAATGGAATCTAAAATAGCCAAGCGTATTGCTCTACCTGGTCAGTGACCGGTAAGTTCTACGGTCTCCGGTAATAACGGAAACAAAGAAACGTTGTTACGAGATTATTCGAATTTTTTTTTCTAACACAGTAACGACCAACGTGTTGTTTAGTCATCGATTTGATAAGAAAACGAATTTCAGATAAACTATTCTATAGTTTTCTATTCTTTTTCTTTTTTACCAAAGCCATCAACAACAACTCGTATTTTATTTTTATCGAATTTAAAAACGAATAAACATTGAAATATTAACTATTATTACGAACAAATAAATATATATATATAATTAAACTACAGGATTTATTCTTGATTTCGAATTAAGTTACAGATTCGAAAACTAGATTTGGCAAACGATAAGTGTTATGACGCAAAGTTCGACAAGGTCAAATAGTCTGCATTAAAGAAGAAGAGCCATTCTTGCACATATTCGCCTATATACGTATATGTGTGTGTGAGGCTATATCTAAAGGATTTGATAAATCTAAATGAAGAACTACAAGTATACGATTAGTGGTTTTTTCCTGTTTGATTATTACATGTTTATATAGTATAAAAATTTAAACGAAATAAAAATATTAGAAATGCAAGCCTCAAGCGAACAATTTAACATAGAAAATAAATTAGCATCAAGCGTGTTTACGTGTGTATATTTGAATATTAGAAAAATGAAAGTGTTCTTTAATAACTGGCGGTAAGAGCGACAACGGTGAAGCGCATTTCGCTTGGATCACGTGCCATGTATTCTTTACAAACACGAACAGAATCTTCCAATAATGTTTCTCGTGTAGTTGATCCGTGATCGACAGGAGCAGGTTTTCGACCATCTAAAAATGGTCAAGTTGTTCAACTTACGTATTTAACGTTATTAATAAAATATTTAATTATTAAGAAAAATAAATTGCATACCTAGCTCGTACAACTTATCGTTCTTCCGTACAAATGCAACAAAATGATAGTACACTGGACTATCCTCTTCGGGAGCCTATATGAATGATACTTTTAATATAAAAGTATCACAAAGTTAACAAATTAATTTTATATTGTCATCAACTTGCCTCCGTTTGTCCTTCTTGAGCAGACTCTTTATGCGTATCGATGATACCCTGAGCATTAATCAAAAGTTCTCCACGTTCAGCAAAAGAAAGATCTTTTGAATCATCCAAAAACGATTTTAAAAATCCATCTTTTAGATTTATCCTGTAATACATTGAATCGTGGTACATTATATCTTCATATTTTTTATCACAAAGTAACAAAAAATATCATTAAAATTAATCTAACTTACTCTTCCATATTATTTGCCACACTATGAATTAATGCAACTGTACCACATGCATTTGAAATGATTTGTTTCATGTGATAAACCCCATCCGGTCTATCTGTTCCATTATCCTTAGATTTAGTTTCTTCATCCTCTTTGCTTTGTATTTCAGTCTAATAATGTAACGAATTATTAATTTATAATATATCATTCTTGATTGCCACATGATAAATAATATTATCAATTTAAAGATATCTATATACCTTTACTGATTCAGGATAAAGCAAAATAACAGCCAAAACTGGTCTAGGAATAACTGCCAATAAATCTGGTTCTAAACCATAGACGTCAATTATACTCCATTGTTCAGGAACACCCAATTTATGCAAAAACTATAATATCATTAAAAGACTATAAATAAAAAAATATGGAATTTTTGTAAAAATTTGAAATATAAATTAATCTCAATTGACAAGAAGATATTTTCCTGTTTGGGATATACTCATAAGCCAAGTGTTAATTAGAAAGATTGAAATTATTACACCAATGGTAGTTTTAACACACCAACTACCAAACAATAAAGTTATATATATCTTACCTTTGTCATAACCTGAAATAAACAAAAAAAAAATATAAATGTCTTTTTTTGCTAAATGTATAAACAAATGTCAAATATATAAAATAATAAATTACCTCGGGATTCGATTCTAATGGTACCCACGCCATTTTGTAACTTCACAAGTAACAATTGAACTAACTTTTATGCAATGATATTACCGGCTTATACAACCATTATTAAGTGTTAACAATCTCTCAAATTTATCTCCTTGACGTTTCAGAGGCGTATAATCAATTCGATAATATCGAATATAAAAACTTCAAATCACGGTTGTGTTTCTATGTCTAACTTCAGATAGTTTCTTGCAAATTTACATGAAAATATATATCCGCTAAAAAGAATTGTTTTATCTTATATATTACGTCTTAAAACTCTATTTTTCCATATATATGTCAATCTAATATTAATCTAATGATAAATATTGAATATACTTAAATCGATAATTCCAATCGTCGGTAACAAAAAAGTTCCTAGGCCTCAAAATATCTTGAATTACTATTTTTCGTATCAAAATTTATTCTATAATTACTAATCTATTAATTTAATCGTATCGTTTACCTTTCAACTCTTTGGATTGTAACAAAAAATAATCTTTCTTCTTATTATACCTTGACATTTAATAAATTTGACTTTTTTGGAATACAAAATTTCAAATATAGCGGCCCGTAAAGAGCTACGGAAATTCCTAGAATCAAATGGCGCAGATAGCGACAGCTTGTAGCAGCGTCTAGAAACATAATCGATACCTCGCAAAGTTCGATATTCTAGGGAATAAAACTTAAATATGAGGCGCGCGATTTAGTTAGGGATAATCTCTATTGTGCAAGTCATAAAAAGGTGCTATACAACCATTCATCAAATTTTCATTATTATTTTACATTCCTAGATTTTAAATACTACAATCACAGAGTATATAGGTTCGTTACTACAATCGTGGGTATGACCCACAAGATTATAGTAATAAAACAGGTTAGGAAACGTTATGCGTCAATATTTCATTGAAGCGAACAACTTAATGGCATGAACCAGTCCGAATTGTAGCCATTTATAATTATAGTTAAATAAAGATAAAATCACATGATAGAATAAGACTAAAGAGTAAATAACAATAATGTTCATTCAGAAAGCAAAAAATTTTTCGTTTTATTAATATGATAAAATTTATTAAAGGTAAATCGTCATAAAATGATTAAAAGTCATCTCGATAGATGTCTCGTTTACTTTAAAGTTTATAGGTTGTTAACGTCACCATAAAATTTCTTACGAATATTCTGCCACGTATTTTTATTATTTAAGTATTTATTAAAAAAAAATATTTTGACTAATAATTGTTTTCATGTTATTACTCGTTGGAAATCAAGTGTGATTTGAGAAAATCTTTTATAAAAAATGGGATCTTCTCATAGCGTTGAAATACCTGGAGGTGGTACAGAAGGTTATCATGTATTAAGGGTAAGACTGGATCTGACAGAAAATGTTAACCCTTTTACAAATTTTTTCATCAAATTACCGGTTAAAAAGAACTTTATAATTTATAAACAATTTTTTATTCTATTAAGTAGAATCGATAGAAAATAGATAGCGTATGAATACATAATAATGCTTTGAAACTCTACTGTCAGTTAAAATATGTGATACCATTAGGTTCAGGATGACTCTCCTGGACAAAAAGCTGGCTTGGAAGCATTTTTTGATTTTATTGTATCCATTGGAAATAATCGTTTGGTATGTTGATATTTCAAATTAGGTTATATGAACAATTCATCTAATAATAATAATATCAAATGATCTTTCTATTAGGATCAGGATAATCATCTTTTAAAAGATCTTCTTAAAGCTAATGTAGATAAAGAAGTAACTATTACCGTATATAGTAGTAAAACACAATCTGTACGTCATACTGTTATTGTACCTAGTATGACATGGGGTGGACAAGGATTTCTTGGTGTTAGTGTACGATTTTGTTCGTTTGAGGGTGCTAATGAAAATGTTTGGCATGTGCTTGTAAGTACAAATTAATGATATGATAAATTGAATGATATTAAATCATTTCTATATTATAGTTAAATTTTACTTTTAGGAAGTACATCCTTCTTCCCCCGCAGAACTTGCTGGTTTACGTCCTTTCACAGATTACATTATTGGAGCAGATTCTGTTTTACACGAAAGTGAAGATTTATTTACTCTGATAGAAGCTCATGAGTCTCGGCCTTTGAAATTATACGTATATAATACGAAGGATGATTCTTGTAGAGAAGTTACTATTACACCTAACACTACATGGGGTGGTGAAGGAAGGTACTTTAAAAAAGACATTAAAGTATTATAAAGATAAATAAGAATTAGGAACTTGCATAAGCGTTACAAAGATTCCAATACCAATCGATACTCTGTTATTGCAGTCTAGGATGTGGAATTGGGTATGGATACTTGCATAGAATACCTATCAGAAATATTCCTGAGACCAAGCCACGTAATTCATCGTATTACACTACGGTATTGAATACTGATTTTCAAAATTGATTATTATAATTTTATTAAAGATATTCATTTTTTTTTTATTTTATCTTTTCTAGTCTAACGTAAAAACTACTGTTCCCAATCAAATGCAAACAAATGCAACTACTACAGTTACAAGCATTCCTCCTGGATTCTCAATTCCCTCAAATTATATTACGACTGTTGATAATACTAGTAAAAATGAAACTGTCGTTACGTCGCAAGCTATTCTGCATCCTAATTTATCGCAAATAAATCCTGCTGATGCTGGAGCTACTACAACTAATCCAACGATTCATCCTTCCTCTAATCAACCTATTGTTACTACTTCATCTAGTAAGCAAATTTATTTAGATATTACTATAATTGAAAATACCTAATTTTTATTAATCATTTCTTAGGTACTGACATTTCCCATTACAAAGATAGTCCAAACATTCCTGGGATGCCAACCAGTCCACCTATTTCATCATATTCTATGGAAGGAAATGTTCCAATAGGAGTAACAACTACACCACATGCGATTACAATGCAGAGTTATAATTTACCGGGTGCACCAAATACTATTTCTTCATTACCTTTCAATGTGAAGGAATCCCAACTTGTGACAACACCTATTTCATTACCAGGAATGCCTCCCATTACCGTTAATGCAACTCTACCACAAAATCCTTCGTTTTATTCCTCTGTTCTTCATCAGAATCCATTACCAACTACTACTCCATCTCCACCTACATCGGTAACGACACAGTAACAGTTATTTCTGATTCTTCAAATGCAATCTTCTTTTGCCCTTTGATAAAATATTCAATATGTAGGTAAAATAAAATAGAACATATTACGCAATATTAAATCAATGCATTACCTATTTGTACGCGAATATAGATCATTAATGTCACAAAGATTGTATCTTTGATAAGGATTATTATGTGTCTCAAATGTCACATCATAATATGTATGAAATATTTAATATTGTACATAAATATTAGCTTAACAAAATTTTTAAAGAATACGTTTAAATAAACTTAAAAAAAGAAATTGCATAAAATATATCGCGCAGCGGATGGTGATACGTTATTATTTATAAAAATATATTTGTTCTTTCTCTCTCTCTCTCTCTCTCTCTCTCTCTTTCTCACATAATGTTCTTTCTCTTTAATAATCTAAATATTTACTTATCGCTTTATAATTAAATACGACCTTCATAAACTGACAAAATATGTAATATCAATATTTTTACATACTAGAAATTATTGTTACTTTTATCAGTTGATGATAAAAATATAATTACTTTTATCCAACGCATATAATAATACTTATTATATATTTCCTAAAATTGTAGAAATAGATTAATTATTAATTTTTAAAAATAAAAATATTCTGATAAAATTAGAATTAGAATTTTTTACAGATAATAATTAAAGTAAAATGTTCAATATAGTATATGTAATCAACTTAAAATATTAATTTATATTTCTACTAATAGCAAGGATATGTTTTATAATTTCTTTTAACTTATAAAAACTATTTTTATTATAGTTTATTTACATAGCATGTTATATAAACATCATTGAATACAACCAAAACTATGGTTTATCGATATTCATTGGTTGACATAACTACATTAATACGTATTACATAAAGAAGCATTGTATATTTTTAAATAATTATATCTGTATCGCCTAATTCTTCATCAGTAGGAAGAATAACTTTAGCAGGATCTACTACATTCATATCGATAAGTGGGAGACCATGTTCTTCTCTATACCGAAGTTGTAAATATGCTTCACGTTGTGCCCAAGAGGCTAATGATTTCAAATCAGGCTTATACATAGCTACATATGCAGTAAATATCATGCCTATTGTGACAGCAAAGAAAAATGATTCGTGCATCTTACGTCGATCATCTAACTCGTCTTTATCATCAAAACCATAGCTAACCCAAGGTTGCTTTTTCTCAGGCGATTCGATCACATTAGTAGTAGTACTATCGTTTTTTTTAGGTGATGTAGTTATTGAACGACATAACATTTTTTGCGATTTTATTAAATTTATGCCACTTCTTAAGGTATTGAAAGCACTTAGTCGGCAAATTCCAGCCATTTTATTTGGGTTTTTACTTTGAACTTAAGAGTTGTGATAAAAAATATGTCGTTGATTACAAAATTATTTTTACCAGCTGCAATTGTCAGTGTGTTATATGAATATACAATGGCATCAACTATAATTATAATTCAAATTCCATATATACATTACATGAAGAATTAATTTATTGGATATGTTTTTAAGTTATTTTCAGATTTACTTTGTATCTTTGATATATAAAAATTCTTCCTCTGATCTAATAGTACAGTACTCTAATTTCAGAGTACCCACGAATGTGGTACACATCGCTAATGAATATAGTGTATATAGGTTATTTGTTAAAATGAATTATTTCGAAAATTAATACTAATTACAAAAGTCAGTCAACAATTCTCATTCAGAAATATTTAATTATTTTATAAAACGAATAATTAAAAAAACATAAAAATCTTTAACAATTTCTATTACGCGCATTTTCAAGTATTTGATAAAATCACTTATGATTGGTTACCGTATCTTTGTAAAGTCATTCTATTGGTTAAATTTTTATTCGTATATATCTTATTGGATGAAATGTATCAACGGTTCTTATGAATAAGATTTTAAAGAAATAGAAACTTCCGACTCATAGAAATAACACTAACGAGTACCAATTTGAATTCAATCTCAATTTTAGTCGTTAGTATATGTAGTTGAATATATGAATTTAAATTAAAAAGCTCTCATATTTATATTGGATTTATGTTTTATAGTAATTTAAAATATCATTTGTAATTCATCAATCTAAACAATTATGGATTCTGATTTGGAAGAACTTGATAATTTGTTGCGTGATATTAAATTGCCATCAAGCATACGTGATCTTAGAAATCCTACAGAGGAATTTGTTATGGGTTTAATCGAAACATTTTTAAAATTGTTTAAGATTGATGTTGATGTAATTAACAAGCCCACTTTCGAGCAACAATTAGCTATATCTTCTACGGAAGATACAGATATTGTAAGCATTATTAATTTATATGTAGCAATAAAACAAATATGTGACAGGATATTTATAAAAAGTTTTTGTTTAAGTGATATTACTAGCGGTGGTAAGTACAATTATTATACTTATTGTATTATTATTGTATTTATTGAATTATTATTTATTTTTATGTTATGAACAGGCTCTAAAAGGATATGTAGAGTGGCAAAATATTTAGCAAATTTTATAGTTTATGTAAGTAATAAAGAATTGGATATCCAAGGCCTTATTAATAAAATACATAGCAAAGTTAAACAGTTGGAAGAATTGAATGAAAAAAATCAAAATATACAAACGTTAATAAATGAAAAAAATGTGAACACTTCCAGACAATTAGCCTTAAAGGAAAAGGTATTATTCAGTTAGAAATGTTTTATTAGATAGATATTAATAAATGAAATTGACAAGATACTTGTTTATGACAACATAAATATTTTAGTACAAAATGGAAATAGAGCAATTGCGTTCAGTTCTCGACAATAATGAAACAAGCAAACTTGAAATACAAGAAGAGATGTTGAGTATAGAAGAGGAGAGAAAAAAATTATTAGAAGAATATAATGCTCACAAAGTTGAAACTAACAGGGTACATATGCGTATAGTTATTTTTTATATTATCATTATATAAAAGTTAATATTTTATACACAATTTTTAGCTCGACAAAACGATAGCAGAATTAAAATTAGAAGTAGTTACCTCTCCGGAAGAATATTCAACTCGTTTGTGTGATTTAGAACAACAACATGAAGAAAAAATTGAAGAGAGAAAAATGTTGGAAAAAACGTTTCTAACTAAAAAAGAATTGGAAAAGAAATATGAGAATTTGTTATCCCTTGTGCAAAAACAATATGAGATGATCTCAGAGATAAAGGATATACATGAATGCTTACAGTATGTTTTGTATATGTCTTTAAGTTTTATGAAATTATATTTATTTGGTTTCATCATTAAACACGAGTAGAATTTATTATATGTACGATTTATAGGAAGAATATTATTCAAGGCGAAAGTCTTCAAAAGCAAGTTGATACCATGGAAATTCATATTACTGAATTAAATAAAAAACACAAAGATCAAGAAGATAATCAAGGATCTACTATCGATGAGATTCTTACCCAAACCAAAGAAAGATTAAACGCAGTTCGTGAATTGCAAGCACAATTATTGAGGTACTTAAAATTATTAAGTGCAACATTTTGTTGTGGTATATGTTCAATAATTATAAATATTTTTTTTATAGTAAAAAACAAGTAACACTAAGTGAATTAGAAAATAAGAAACGAGTATATAACGACGTAGATATGGAAATAAAGACATTTCAAGATCTTATAAAAAAGGTAGAAGAAGAAACAACTACTTTTATAAAGAATTGTCAAGAACTATATAATCATGAAATACGGAATGTAAGTAAGATTAATTATTTTTATCTTTAATTTGATTAATCTTCGGGAGAATATAACTAATGAATTTATTTACATTATATCAATTTTTTATATATATTATTATATTGTAACAGGAAATCAATTTACGGAAACATTTCGACAGTGTTTGGGATAGTAGTAACTCTACTAATAAGTGCATATAATATTTTAGAATAATCTGTATATAAAAAGACATTTGAAAATAGTTTTAAAGAATAAAAATTCTTATTATTTATTTTTATTTTTCGTTTTAATAGAATGGTTAAACAACAAAATAACAATGTTAACATTTTTATAAATCAATTACAATACAGTAAAGAACAAAGTTACATAAATTCAAATATATATATATATATATTTAATATTCCCTGTGACACTTTAATTAATAATTTTATTTTTAGACGCGATAAACAACTAATTGATTTAATATAATATTCCTAAAGAAGGAAATTGGTTAATATGTAAGTAGGTAATGATTGTATATTTCCATGTGTTTTAATATATTGTAATGGTACGCTAAAATATAATTGTAATTTTATAATAAAATAAAATAAATAAGAAAATAAAGAAATACATTTCTATAAAGGTTACATAATTCCAAGAAATTACTAGAACAGAAAAACAAAGTAACAGAAAGATAATAGTAGAAGTCATATGAATAATTTAAACTATAAGCAAAACGGAGAACATTTATGTATTAGATAAGAATTATTAATAGTGTATAAAAAGAGGAGATAATCTTATCTACCTAATAAAGAAACAAAGGAAACTGTAATTTTTTTGGTCGTTTCCTTTTTACTCTCTGCCTGTCGTACTTTTCATATTCTACACGAATCTTGTATCACGATAACACTTAGAGCAATAAGTTAGTTTAAGTGAAGCGTTATAATACTTCTGAATAAATCATTTATGTAGAGTTTAAATACCATTAACATTATGTGACTTATTATGTATATTATATACAATTGTGTATACATATTAACATTTACATCTCTATTATTATAATTCGTTAACAAAGAAAATTTGATAATAATAACACGAATGAGAATTAATATATGAATTATCATTTTCTCCGATAACTCTGTTTGTACTTACACATGTCAATAAGAGTAATTATTAATTATATTTTATATATATATTTAATATTTAATAAGTGCATTGCTGTATTCAGTGCTACGTTTTTCAACATGATTACTAATTATGTACAATTTATTTGTCACGTGCAAATACATTCTTTTCATATAATGCATTGTACAAGAAAGTGTATTGTATGTACGTATCATTAGACAGACTTTTGTGAAAAATGAATTTGTGTTTAATAATACCTTTATAGAGTATTATGTTATAAAATGAATCAGTTCTCCCCATTAACTATTGTTTGTACAAGTTTGACAAACATCTTAAACATATAATTATAATTTTAGGATATTTTTTTACATACAGCTTCTATACTATTTTTCCTTGACCACAATTTGTGTTGCAATAATAAATTACTATCAACAGTTTTACAGTATTTAAGTTGCTCAATTCTTAAAATATTAGTTCTTTTTCTCATAGGTAACATCATCATGTGAAGTATTGAAAGTGCATACATTAAACAACATATAACAGATTAAAATGAAGAAATATAATCGAGATTGGATGATCAATGTTTCTACACTATTTCAAATGGCAGTGATATGGGTAACTCAGATATTATTTCTTGCTTGTTTAAATAAAATAATATCAATATATGTAATATAATTTAAATTTGATATCTTTATGAATTAATATTAATTAGGCTTTGAGACATAGATACATTTACGAAGTATAGAAATTATACATCTTTTCAAATTTATAATCAATAATTTTCTTTGAGAATAATCTTATAGTGTTCTTTTTCTTTTTTAATTCCGAAGCATTATAATGAATTGTTAAAATATTTATTGCTATTTTTTTATATTAAAGTTAATATGTAAGACGAAATCCTTTGACTGTTTTCTTAACACGTACAAAATGAAATAGTTTTTGTCTTGTTTCTCTTAGTAATATAATACAGTTTCTCAAATACATGTAAAAGTAAATGAAAAAATAGTGGCTCACCAATTTTTTCAATAATATTTACATATATTTATCTAAATTTGTGTTCATGTGTATCATCATATCCATACATTTCTATATATTTTCATCATTTGATGTTGGATATTTTGTACATGTTTCAAATGCAAAGAAAAAGAATATATTACATAAATTAACTAGAAATATCATTTATGTGTAAAAAAATACTACAAAATAGTTAATTAAATTCTAATTTTTGTAAACTATAACAATTTAATATATATTATCTTGTTTTATGATTTTAATATTGCGTCTTTTTCCCAAAATATCTTTGCAGCAGGAAACTAGCTAATAAGTGACTTTTTTTTGTCCCTTTTTCTTTCTTTTTCTATTTTTTCTTTTTTTTAAATTCTTATCCAATAATACAATATATTTTTTGTTGACCAATAGATAGAACAGGATCATATGGCAGAATATAACTTCCATGTAATATTGCCAACTTTTTATCAAGTCAAGCATGTAATTAATTTCTTTAACTTCTACTTTATTATCTATCTCTGTCGAATTTTAAAAATATTTATTGATTGCAAAAAACCCCATATCCAAGTGTTTTTTTTTTCCGGTTTTTATGAGTCAAATTATTTCATAGTAAATATACTATAACTCGTTAACAACAATATATTTTCATATGATAATACATTTTCATTATACTTATTAATAACATAATGCAGCATACAGTCTTATGGGGGCGAAAGTTCTAAGCCCAAACTAAAACCCTTTAAGTGTTATATTTGTTATAGGATTTAATGAAAACATTTCCTTTGTACACTTGTACAACACTTAAAGAGTTAAAGCACTTATTTTTTGTATCTTTATTATTTTCTTTTTTTATTTTCTTTTTTTTTTTTTTTTTTGATTGAAAAAAGAACTACTATAAGTAATGAAATAAAAAAATTGTTCATTTTTATAAATACAATAGCAATATGACGTTACAAAGCCAAAATACACCAATAGTCTTAACAGTTAAAATCATACAGAATTCTACTGCAGTAATGCTATTTATATACGAAGAACCTAAATTTTGTTACATTTGTTATTCAATTGTTTAATCATTTACTCACAATCAGTATTAAATCTTATATCAATTTCATATTGTCTCGAATCAATGAATAAAATAAATTCATAGGAATTAAGAACAAGCAATAAAAAGCGAATTAATTAAAAATAAATCATTAATAACTTATGATATGTTAACTTGTTTTGAATATTATAATATTAACATTTGATAGTGAAAAAAAGCACGTTTATATATAATGATACTTTGATTTTATCAAGACAATTTTCTATTAAATATCAGATACATAAAATTTAATGCATGTGTATAAAAATGACAGAATATGTATATTAAGAAAAAATAAGAAAGCAAAAAATAATAAATTTAAATCATATATTAATAAGTACTACAATCCATTCTGAGTTAAATATCATTTAAATAAATAAAACAGTTTTCTCTTTTTTTTTTTTTAGAAAAAAAAAAAAAAAAAAAATAGAATCTTAATAATTGCCTATTTTAACAATTTATCTTATAAGAATAACTTAATATAAAATGCAATAACATTTTGAGCATTTAATACTCAATAATGTTCTAATTATAACTTGTGTGTAAATCATTATAATATATTGCTTAGATGAATATTTATTTCTGTTACTATTGTTTTATATATAAAAAAAATAACACAAAAGTACAGATATTTTTTATTAAAAATATAAATTTTGGTTTTGAGATTAACATTACTGCACATTAGAATACCTTACTCTATAAATAATGCTTGACTTTATAAATTATTCTTTGCAAAATCAACGTATGTCATATAAATTAAGTAAATATATAAATGAGAAAACATTAAAAAGCATAAGAAGCAAATAGAACATATAATATATAGAAAACAAATTATATATGTATATTACAATGACAAAGTTTATCAATATTAATTTTAACAAAAGAAAATACAACATTAATTCATTGTTCCCTTCCCCATTTTTAAACTAATTGTAGAGATCAATGAAGTAGTGGGCTGTTTTCTTCTAACAAGAAATCCAATTGAACTTGTGCATTTTACAATCTGTAGTACCTGTATTTATTGAAATCTTTCACTTATATTCTCACAGAGATATTTAATTCATTGTGGTATTAATACTAATGAGGAAATAGTTTATAGTAGCACACACATTATTAATGTGGTATTTCTATATACAAGGATAGTCAAAAGTGTTCACAGTAGTTTAGCCCACTACTATCTCTTAAGTTGACTTTTTGTTATATAGATTGTTTTTTTAATCTTGTTTAAACTGAGCTAACCTGAATTGAAGAAGTCAATGATTCTGATTCGTTATGCGCCCTTAAGTTGATAGGAGCTTCTATATTAATATTGTTGTCGCCAGTGTCCCCACTTAATCCAAGTCGTTCTCCATCCATTAAAGTAACACTGTCTGTTCCAAATGAATTATTTTCCACACTATTATTCTTCTTTCTGTTCATACAGCCATTAATACTTATATCAACTTCTGATTGTTCACTGTTTAACATCGAACTACTTCCTTTAATATTCTCTTTCGATGTATTTTGCGATCCAAGTCTCTTTTCCTTATCGCATATTGCATTAAGAGGATTCTTAGCTGTTTTTCCATCTCTTTCTTTAGGCTTCTTTCCAAGTACTGGAAAATTAGTCATTTTTGATGAAATTTTCTGATCCTTTCCTTGTCGCATCGAGCCAGCACGATTTGGTTCTATTGATTCTTGCTCTTCTGTGATAGAAACCAAATTACCTTTCCCTTCTCCACCAGAATCTTCCTTTACAACTTGAATTGGTATATCATCTGCGGAAGAAATGCAAATAGTTTCGTGTTAAATTTTGAATATACTATAGATAGATTTAATCATTCTGTATGTAAAAGATAATTCAATTTGAACTAATCAAGATTTGACATAAATTGTTCAAACTTTTACACATAATGTACATTTAATAAAATAATATTTTAAAGCACCATGTATATAAGGTATTTAATATAAGATTATGAGATTTAAGCAAATTTGTGAATAAATAAGCAAATGAGAAGAAAAATATATAGCTGAATTTGTGTGTTTTAATCTATATATACCAAATGGTTTAGGTGCATTAAACTAAATATATATTGCATTTGCATGCAGTCTCTTTGGAAACACATAATATGTGCTTTGTATATACTTGTATTCCATCACTGATGATGGATAATATTTCTGAAATAGTCATAATCTATAATTGCATAAGTTATATATTGATCATAGAAGTGGTCAGTGCTCGTATTAAATCAAATATTGTAATCGCGTGATTGGTGAACAACTTTGGCAAGATTAAGTGATCCTATATTGCAACAACATTACATTGAATACCATGTATTTGTTGATAATGCAATGGTAGTAGCAAATGTGCCTGTTGTACTGCTTCCTGTATACAAACTTTCCGACGATTCTTGAATAGCCTCTCCTAAAGCTTGTTCTTCTAATACACTATATAAATGTGTACTGGCATTTAATCTATTTTCATTATAAACCGAATCGTATATTTCTGTCGTGTCTTTCCATTGTCTCTGTTTTATACCATCTTCAATACTATCTCCAGCAACTTTTCGCTGGTCTTTATTCTTTTTAAAAGGTGATTTGTTTGGTGAGTTTTGATTGCTGCACGTGCTCCCTCGTCTGGAACTTTCCAGAGAGGTGGAAGAATGAGTTTTGCCAATATCATCCTCATCGAGAGAATTGGAAAAAGCATGCTTCCAAAGCCAACTACGGCGTTTATTACTTCCAGACGATGTTGGTTGTTGATGCTTCTCAACTTCAGTACTGTGTAACTCATCCGCAAACAATTTTTCATCCAGATCATCTAATGACACATGTGTGTAACAAATGCACATTCATTGAATTTACTTGTTTATATATAAAAATAGAAACATTGTTATAAGTTTAATTACGTATGATCAGAGATTCGTAATAATTGTGTATTTGATGTAAAAGAAAACTACTTGTTCAACATAGTAGCAGCAACAGAAAATTATTAACTTATTCAATGTTTAGAGTTATATAAAAAACACATTTAACATTGAATTATTCAGAAACGTTCATGCACCTTTTCTTCATCGTATTACATCTCTATTTACACATATTTACGTTTTTAAATTTAATATTTACATTTATATTTGTTGTATAGTAATGTTCTATGACAATGTTAGTATTAATGTTTATATATATTTGTAACTGTTGTGTATATACTTCCCTTATTTGTTAATTAAAGTACAATGTACTTTCAATTATTCATCATTTTTTAAAATAAAATAAACGTAATGAAAAAAGAAAAGAAAATTATTATCTTATATTATTTCTTTCTACGGGGATGCAAAGATAATTGAAAATATACTGTACATTCAAATCTATCAATAAATATCTGTGTAAAATATTATTATACAATATTGTCATATGTTTCTTTTTTTTTCTTCTTTGTTTTCTTTTTTTAATAATACAAAGCAATACGAAGCAAAAAAATTGTATTTTTAGACTTCTAAACAATTAACTTAACGATACAACGTATGAAAAGAAAATATATTATTTCTGGTATATACATACCTGGTAATTTTTTAGTGCGGAATGAAGCATTTGTAATCATAGATTTTGATATTGTTGGAGTTGCAGTTACAGAGGACAATGCAACACAAATACCAATAGATCCATCACTTGATTGACCTAAAATTACAAAAAAATCACATTAATAAAAATACTTAAAGGATATAATATCTTTTTATCGCAAATCAAATATTTACCAGATGGCCCAGAATTGGCAGAATTTCGTATGGCATTTGTAACCAACATTACATCAGGATACATTTCATAACACGCTCTGTTGTGTATATCCTCCACAGCTTGACTCGCTACATACCAACAATCATTGTACCTAATAACATGAAATTATTTGATAGTTAATAATTACTAACTTATTTACACGTTAAGTAATAGAAGAGTTTAATAGATGGCATATATACATTGCAAAATAAACTGCTTGAAGAAATTCGAGAAGAAATTGAGTTGAAACAGGTATGCGTGGCAAAAGTCTTGGAACAAAACTAGATTCGCTGCCATATGAAGATCGTTGATGGTGTCCCGGTTTCGTGAAACCTTGAGTAACAAGCCTGTGACAACATATAGTTTATGATTAATTATTTCATAATAAAACCTTCATAACAGCTCCAATGAAATAATACTCAAGCTGATAGTTACTTTAGATTTAGAATCTTATTAATCAAGCTTACTTTGTTGCAACTTTGCACAATTGCTCCAAAGCAAACTTATTTATATAACCCAGTTGTTGGTTATAAATGAAAAGTAGAGCGGTCATCACTTTTAATCTATTTTGAGCATTCAGAGTTTCTACTTGACGTAAAGGGCCCCAACTAACAAGTTTTGTATTGCATTCTTCGAAACGACGTACTGCACTTTCTGTTAAGGAAGCTGGTGTCAAGCTTGCTGGCTACTCAACATAAAATTTATATATATATATATGTATAAGAACATTTAATTGGATACATTATTATATATTTTTTATATTTTAAGTTACCGTTAATTTATATATATATATATGATTTTTTATTTGTAATTTATCTGCAATAACTATATTTCGTATTATCATTTTTAATAATCAAAAATTGGTATTCATATATTAATGTATATTTTTAAAAAACAACAAAAAATTTGTATACCTCGTGATATATAGATAGCATAGCGAGAGATGGTAATCGAAAAGAAACCGCCTTTTGTTGTCCAGATTTATCCACTACTTCGAGATTATATAACCCAATTAGAAGAGTTTCAACTGTGCGGCAATTCTATATTAAATATAGCAATAAATTATTTATAAGTTTTAAATAATTAGAAAAGTCAACAGAAAGAAAACAATTAGAAATGTTTAATACGTTCTTTTGTATACTAATAATAATTGTAGTTACACGCATTTTTATATAATTAATTAATTATACAGACGTATGTGTAATTAAAATATTATTTTCTTATTAATCAAAAAAGTAAATTGAGATAAAAATGAAAATATATATTATTTTCTAAATAAGCAAATATCAGTCACAATTACTCATAATAGTACTAGAGTCTAGCAATAATACATATTTATTCTCACACAAGTTTTGAATGCTGCAATTAAGTAAGTCACATGTCATATCTTATGCATATTTCGAATGCAAATTACACCTGATCTACATTATATAACACTTTTCTTACATCTTATATGCTTGTACTTTGATCATGTAAAAAAAAATGTAGCATTGATCGTGCAAAAAAGAAAAGTAGTATTGATCATTCTACTCATAATAAAATGGAAATAATAATTAAAACTAAAGAACTAAATAATGCAATATTATTACCTTGATATCGCCATGGGCAGCAGAATTTAAATAAATAAATATCAGCGTAGGTAAAAATTGCAAAGTAAATCTTCTGAGTTCTATCTCTTGAGAACGATAGAAATCAAATAGTTGATTACAAACAGTATCTACAAGCTGAAATAAAGAATAAATAAGACAATTATAAAATGATAACAATAATTAAAATCAAGAATAATAAATATATTAATATGTAATATAAAAAATAGTAAAAATACCTGGCTATATTTGCTACGCTCTTCGAGCAATACATAAAGTGCTCTAACTATCTCATTATCTTGCGATAATGTGGTAGCAAAGGTATGAAGTTTAGAAGGTGATATATCTCCACAATCTGCCAACCATTCATTTATCAAGCTTTCTGTCATTTTCTGCTTGAACCTATTTTCATTGATAAATTAAAATTTTATTTTTAAAAATATTTAACGTTCTCGTAAAACAAAGTAAAATTCCAATAATCATTCTAATAACTTTAGATTATTAACTGTCAAATAATGTTTCACGTACCATTAAAATTAATCGTTGCCTTTAGTTCTCTAATAAATAATGTCAAATGGAAAAAAAAAAAGAAAAAAAAATGATTTTAAGTAACGTTATATTACAACTCATTCTACTATTATAAAGATAACATTATGTTTAAATAATAAGTTGATTACCGAGTTTTTAATAATGCTATCTCAGTCGAATATTAATGTCGATGTATTATTAATTATCATCGTCGTATTATTAGTCCTTATTAATGATTGCAGCTGACAGCAGCCAAGTGTATAAATTCACGTTATTAAGGTCTGAGTATTGACAAATCACTACCTTATCGATAGTTAACTCAAATCAGTTAAAATCGTGTCTAAAAATTTCTGAACAGACGTAACCCATACACATCCTGTCTAGGCTTAAATCCTACTGTACTGCCCACTATTGCTAAACTACTACAGCGCCAACTTCTTTTAATATTTTTTTTTACACTATATCTTCCATTTTTATTCGCATTTAATTTTTCTTTCATTTCTCTTCTTTTTCTTTTCTTTTTTATCTTTCTTTTTCTCTTCTCTTTTTATTACGAATATCTTTCATAAAAACTTATTACCTATATCGATCAAAAAACATGAAAAAAGTTATGATTTTTCAAATATTTCCGCCAAATTTGAAATGACACTTTCGTGAACCCAACATCCAGTTTCTTTTTGAATCCACCTTTGTGCAAATGTTTTAAAACTGCTTTAAGGTCGATCTTAATTGAAGTTGATGTAACATTTAAAGATTTAATTTAATTCAATGAAATAATATCTGAAATAAACTTGAATCACCCAAAAATAAATCTCTTGAAAAATTCAAAGTATTGATAAAATGGAAGAAGAAAAGGATTCTAATTCGATTCCTATGACATCGGAAGCAGATTTATGTGTACTATATAGAAAAATCACTTTAATATATGACACATAAGTCATATATACTTTTCTAATTAATAATTAATGATTTGTAAAATATTTATTTAAAAATAAACTATTCGTTATATCTTATGTGTGCTTTGAAACAAACGTTTTAACACTATACGAACTTTAAAAAACTAATTTCACTATATCGATACGTTAGAATCTCTTTGGATTTTCTTCGATTTTTATTGGTTAAAATTTTAGTGATAATATCGATAGTCGAAATTAACTAAATCGATTTTTCGAACTCGACTAACTTCATTGTAATTGATCTTGAAATGTTCATAGAAAAACATTGAATTTATTTAATTTAAAATTGAACATGAATATAACCGTCAAATCAAGTCAAATCTTTATCACATGTCAACAAAATACAATCGTTCGATTTCCACGAATATACTTGTCAACGCAAGAACACGTAATCAAGTAAAAACCCATTACTGTCATAAACATTATTTTTAGAATAATAATATCAAAAGACAAACTACATGTCTCAAAAAAAAGAATAAAATTAGTACTGGTCTTTTTTTCAAATAGAATTATTGTTGTTAAAAAAGTATGGGCTCAATATACCATTTCAAATACTTATCAAAAAGAAATGTATAATGTTTTTCAGTTTGTTAAAACGACGACCCTATATATTTATTTATTTGTTTTAACAATTACCAATATTTGTATTGATTATTATTATATTTTAGGAAGAAATGGAAGCCTACTATTGGTTTAGAAATTCATGCACAAATAGCAACGAATTCAAAATTGTTTTCTCCTGCTTCTACAAAATTTCAAAAACCCGTTAATTCTTGCGTATCTTTTTTCGATTGTGCAACTCCAGGAACAATGCCGGTAAAATTTTCAATTATTTATACATATATAAGATGAAGATATATGAAGATGAGATATATGAAGATGAATTAACAAGATAAATTATTGTAGGTGCTTAATAAAAAATGTGTCGAAGCAGGTGTTACTACAGCCTTAGCATTATCTTGTACACTAAATGAAATTTCAATCTTTGAAAGAAAACATTACTTTTATCCAGATTTACCAGTATGTTAAGTATTTCTTTAATAATAAATATGCTCAAATATATTTGAGTCGTTCGTAGATCAAAGCAATTAATTATCACGATTTGATATAGGAGTGTCGCATTTATTTCCATGTATTTTCTGCTTAGGCTGGATATCAAATTACACAATGCAAACAACCATTGGCTAGTAATGGTGAATTACATTTCTTAGTAGAAAATCCAAAAGTATGTAAAGAACCATATGAAAAAGTATCAAAAATAAAACAGATACAATTAGAACAGGACAGTGGACGAAGTTTTCACGATGAATCTGCTGGAAGGTAAAAAAGTGATTTTAATAATATTAATTATTTTAAAAGTTGTTTATATAATATAAATATTATATAATCCACAATCAAATGTGTCACATTATTGTTCTTTTATTATAATTTTTTCAATTATAATATCAATATATTATAGAGTTCATATATCTGTTGTAATAGGAATCTCATTGATTTAAATCGTGCTGGTGTACCATTGATGGAATTAGTTTTTGAGCCAGATTTAAATGATGAAGAAGAAGCAGCAGCTGCTGTAAAAGAATTAGTCAATATTTTTCGAATATTGGGTACTTGTTCATGTAAAATGGAAGGTCTACAAAAAATATATATATATTATTTGTAAATATAATATCGTTTAAATATCGATTTCTATAATTCTAACATAATATTATAGAAGGAGCATTCAGAATCGATGCAAATGTTTCCGTAAGTTCGGATGATAATTTAGGAGTTCGTACAGAGTTAAAAAATATTGCACATGTACGTGCTGTTGCTTCTGCCATAAAATACGAGATAAACCGACAGATCTTACTTCTACAGTATGGGAAGTCAGTTATTAATGAAACTAGAGCATGGGATAGCGTAAACAAGAAAACAGTTACGTTACGAGAAAAAGAGGAAAAACAGGTATAATATAATGTGTCAGTACATTAAATTTTAGTTTTTAAATTTATTAACTTTTAATGTTAATATTTTTTAAGAAAATAATGTAATATATTATTATTAGGATTATCGGTTCATGCCTGAAACAGATCTTCTTCCTCTGCGAATATGTCTTGAGAATACTAACAATAAATATAACTTAGTAGATGTTGCTACATTAAAAAAACAATTACCTGAACTACCACTTGAAAAACGTAAAAGGTTGAAAGAAAAATATGGTCTTAAGGATCGTTTGATTTTACAATTATGTGTAAGTTTTAATGTCATTTAGTTTAAACAAAAAAAATGATCATTTTAATATAATTTATTTTTATTTTATTTTAGAATGAATTAGATTATTTGGAGTTATTTTTCAATGTAATTGAAGGAAACAAAAATCTTGATCCAAACATAGCGGCAAATTTCATTATAAATACATTGCAGTTATTTTTGAATTCAAATGAAATAAATTTTGATTATTGGTAAGTTTTCATATGTTCTAATTTAGTAAATTTGTAATATAAATACATTTGTTTAATTAGGATGCAACTATTTGTCAAAAATATTAATTGACAACACTTTTTTTAGCCAAGATAAAATAGAATATATTTCAGAATTAATTGATTTAATGCAATCTGATCAAATTAATGTGGCAACAGCAATAAAAATATTAAAATATTTAAATGTTAAATCAGACAAAAGTCCTAGCCAGGTAAGTTTAATCTTTTACATTACAAAAATTACTGCTTAATTTGCTACTGTGTGAAATAAGTATATTTTATGGTAGAATTATATTCTATAAGCACTTAATCTATATTTATTACGTATAGCTTGCGAAAGAGAATAACTGGATATTAATAAATGATGAAAAGGAATTAGAAATTATATGTAAAAAAGTTATTGAAGAAAATCCAAAAATTGCAAAAAAATATGCAGTTGGAAAGAAGAAAAAAGAATTTAGAACATTGCTAGGGAAAGTAGCCCAAAGTACAAATGAACGTGCTAACATGAAAAAAGTATCGTCAATTCTGAATCGTTTAATAGAAAAATTCTTCTAAGAAAAAGGTATGCATTTATGAACTTACCTGATATGTATATAATAGCACAAAGCAGTTTGCTACGTTATTTTGTTTGCTCATTTTAATTTTAATATATCTTTTTGGTCACACTATTTTATAATGTATATATATGTAATATATATATATATATAAAAGAACTTTCACGATTGCTTTAAAAAGCTGTTTTTTCTAACATATTTACATATTATCATATCCAAAATATTATATAAAAAATCACGATAAACTTTTTGCACATAATTCTCTATAAATTGTAATGTCACAAGTACAAAATCAAATAGGAAATAAATAATTCTGATATTACAAATTGGAGACTAGAATTATCAGTCTCCTTTTGCAACTATAAACGTGTTGCCAGAATCGTAGTATAGGTTTATTCTTAATATTTATAATCATTAAATAAAGTATAGACATATCGCATAGCATTCAATAAGTCTTCGTCATTATATTCATTTCTTATGCCTGAGTATGTGACATGTCTACTATTATATCCTGGAAGATAAAAGCAGATGACAATCTTTATCAAATTATGAATAGTTTTCATATGAAAAAAAATGATTATAGTATATGCTAACAACTTGAACATTTCAGATAGATACAAATGACTTATACATTTTTTTTATTTTATATTAATATATTAAATAAAACTATAGAATTTAAAAGATATTTTTTTCAGACATTTTAATCCTTGAAAAACTATTTCACATTTAAATTGTTTCTCTAATTTTATAAATACTGATAATAATAAAAATGAATAATATCATCTAGTAATTGATTACTGCACTAAAATTAAAATATAGCATCTATTTTCTTATTACTCATCTGTAATACTAATAAAAATACGTCATATTAAAATATCAATTATGTAAACAATAATATAGAATATATTTGATAAAGATCATCCTGCATATTGCAAATTGCAATTAAATCAGTTATTATACATATTGATTATAACTATACAATAGAGAATAGTCTGTTTCATACATAGAATTGAAAACTTTGTTGAATAAATCAATTATTTAAAAAATTATCAAGTTAAGATTTTGAAAGTATACAATGAATAATAGAACTGATGTATATAAAAAGCAAATGGATCTAATTTAATTCTTTATCCAATTGTTCAGTTATAATCTATTTTTTTTCCATAGATCCTACACATATAAATTTGTATTTATATAAGAACTTTTTGTTTTTTTTTTGTTTTTTCTTTTTTTTTTTCATGTGAACACTTTGAAACTATATAATACAATAAGCACATACATATCACTATTATATAATACAGAGAACATATCTATATACTAAACAGTTACACAAGAGTGTTATTTTATAACAAATTTCATTATGAAATAACTACCTCCATATACCTTTTTACAATTGTTTACAATAAAATTGTTAAAAAAAAACACAATGTCACTTGTACGATATTTTTTCTTTTAATTACTTATAAATATGTAAAGCCGTATTCATTAACGAGACATTTTTCTTAGTACATCATAATTAAATTTACTGAATGAATTATTTTTGTAAAATTTTGTATAAAGGGTTTGCTGCTGTTGAAAAAATGCCAAGTCTATGAATACGGTTTACAAACCTAATCAGATGCAAGATTAATACCTTTTTTCACGAACGCTACTGCAAAAATATGCTCGACCTATTTGGTATATGTATTAGTAAATTCGTTAAAATTAACAGTTTTTTTGATAAAATTCCAAATGCTAATATGCATTAATGCAATGCACATATATTACTTTAGAGAAATATAAGATAGCATATTAATTTCATTCAAAAAAGTGATATATTTGCTGCATTATTATTAGAAAAAAAGCAGCAAAATAGCATAAAAAAGTTATCACTATGATAATTGAAACGTTCGACAAAAAAATCATAATGATAAAAGATTTAAAAATGACAGTCTTTAGAAAAAGGCCACTTGAGTACTGTGAAAATCATCTCCTTAATCCACAGCTTTCTCACTTTGTTCTATGTATTTTATAAAATGCCATGGCAATTGTAACTTATAGATTTTTTAAGGACGAATGTCAGAAAGATAATATATAAATAGTAAACTCTACTTTAATTATGTGTATGTGTATATGTATATGTATATTTATCTGTATCCCATAGGGTAGAACGTTTCGCACAAGTTATTATATATTTACAAAATGTGCTTAGAAAGAGTCAACATCAACAGCATGATTAATTAAAATTGTTGTTATAATAAAAGAATTCTTTTACATACGGATTGAATAAAGCTCAACCTGCTCTTCATGTAGTATTGGCACTATCATGATCTAAGAAATTTATCTTTGATATTGAAAAAAAAAAAAAAACAAAATCCAAGATAGTAAAAATTCTAAATTTGCTCATGATCAAATATAAGATCGTAGGAATAGGAGCAAGACTTTATCGCTCTTGGCACAGCCACGCCAGTAACTGATATTACTTATAATAAATTAAGTTTCTAGCACAAGAATAAATTCATCAGTAATGTGATGATACAATATACATTATAAGAATATTAACAATATAATGAATATGTTGTACCATTTAAAAAAATTCAATCAATGCAAGAGCAGCACAATTAAAAAGGATTCATGTTGCTTTTAACATGGGAGAGCACTGAAGTTATTTGGATAATTTACTGATCACTCTGATCAAGGCACCATTTTCATCCTTTAGCCTCTGGTTTTCACATTTTAACTGATCCATTACCTGTAAAAAAAGTTCAATGTGCATATGTCAATAGAAATAATAATATATATCATTGTCGTTTATCATCGTTATCATCATCACCACCATCGCCATCATCATCATCATCATCATCATCATTATTATCATCATCATCGTATGGATATGGACAAACAATGTTACTATGAATTGGATAAAATAAATTATTATGCAGATCACATATTTTAATATAAATTTGTCAAAATAGCAGGCAACATTGCAACTTAAAATTGTTATTAAATTGATATTAAAAACAGCGATAGCTAATTAATCATTATCAAATGAAAATTGTAAATGCAATAAAATATTACTATATGAAATAAGAATATTGCTACCATAGATTTTAGAATTTTATATCTAAACTCACATTATATATAATATATAAGATAACTGTGTGTTATGTTTCTCAAATACCTACCTAAATTTATTGACAATAACTATTTAAATTTATTACATTAATTGTATACGAATGAACACGCAGTTAAAAAGAAATATATCAAGAAAATAAAATACGAAAATAAAAAATATGATTGTCAATTTATGTGAAACTTTTGAATGTGCGTGTGTGTGTATGTATTTGTTTTTTATTTTCGTTGGATAATATAATAGAAAACTAATAATTTAACACTTGATTGTGAGTTATCTTTTATCCGATACTTTTAAACTAACTTTTACAAGGACATGAAGAATACACACTTAATTTTGTCGAAATCGATACTGCTAACTATACACTTCTGAAGACATTGATTTTATAAATATTTCTTTATCGCACTAAAACGACATTATTTTCTCTTCTTTGTTACTTTTATCTAAATAATTTCATAGTATCATTATCAAATCCACAAATTCATCCAATATTAAAATTAATTATCGTGTTGCTTTAATGAAAAAGCTGCCGAAAGAAATATACAATTGTATACATCTGAAATATTTAAATACCATCAATAAAATTATATTTTAGATAGATAGAATAAAAACTAATTCATATTATGAATTTAAATTTCCATAAATCTGTCATAATAATTGTTACTTTCATCTGTGCATTTTTAGATAAACTAATTAAAAATAAACTACTTGTAAAAGTTATGCGAGAAGTTTTGTAACTAACTTGTCATAATAATAATAATTATATCAATCAATATATTATATATATGTAAATAAAGAAAACCTACTTTTCAATACTTACTGATAAATTAAAAATATGTTGTTACAATTTTATCATAATATATATGATTCTTAATTTGCATAACATGCATTAACACAATTAATATGAAAGTGAAAATGGAATAATGTATGATAAAAAGTCGAAATTATTTCTGTTATTAAATAAAAGTTGTGATGAAAGTATTATATAATTATTATATAAATGATAATGGATAGAAAAGCGTTATCACATTATAATGCGGTCAAAATGAAAGTTTGATTCTGCTGATATGTAAATTAAGTACGTATATCTGAAAGAGTTATAGAGAATTTTTGTAAAAAGATGAAGATGGATATTCCTAATGTTTTTTTTTTTTGTAAATGTGTTGAAATATAAACATGATTATCGTGCTAGTGACAATAACTAAAGAAGGTAAATGTTTGCACAAAGCTAAATGTATATATAAGTGAGTGAGCAATATCGTTTCAGAGTTTTAATGTTGCAAATCATCAGAACATAAAGTTGTAATTAATGAATTAATTAAGTTGTACGTGAAGTACGATGTATGTTAACGCAAATGCTGTCATGTCCTTTACCTATTTAGTAGTATTGGTGAGTTTGGATACGACGCGGGTAAGTGCCCGATTTTCGGCTTTCAATCTCTCATTTTCAGCTTTGAGCTTTTGTAATTGCTGTAAACAGTGAAACGATTAGCCCGAATCTGATCGTTTGATAAAAGCCCCAGCAACCAGAACCACATGATTGATCTATTTTATGAATAATATCCACTAATTTTTGAGCACCGTATGGCCCAAAGCATAATGATGGAAAATCACGGAATAATAGAATAAAAACGAAAGAAAATAAGGAATGGAGAAAAACGAAAATAAAGAGAAAAAACCGTGCCAATAAAAATACTTTCACACTATGTGTGATAAAAAACCAAGCATAAATCGTAATAAATAAAATAAAATACAAAAGAGGTAAGCACCGAAAGATGGCAAAAATAAAGAAAAAAAGCAATGCGCTAAAGCTTACAGTTCTTGAATTAACGATAAATAGTAGATTGATAAAAATGCATATTTTTGCTGCACTCAGCAGTGGCAATCAAAACAACGGAAAAAATTTTAACGTGCAATCTAAGGAAACACGTAATTACAGGTATATGAATAATGTAGTTGAGACGAATAAATTTGAATTAAGATGAAAAAATAATTTTCTATAACTCGGTCACTTACAAATAAAATGTGATTTCCTTAAAATTCTCTCTTTCATAATACGGTACTAAAACGCGCGCGAATACTAAGAATATAAATATTAACTTAACAATAATCATACCTTTAATTCTTCTTCCATTTCTGATAACTTCCTTTCCATGGCCCTCCTTTCCCTTTTTTCAGCCTCAGATAAAACTGACTTGTTCTGAGAAGTTTGCGCCTTATCTAATAAACTTCTAACTTCTTTTAATTGTTCATCTGATCGCTTAAGCTTTTCTCTAAGTCTTTCATTTTCCGCTTGAGATTCCTCATATAATTTTTTATAGTCAATTTCACCATTTTCTGAAGTCGTAGATTTGATTCTTGCAGAAGCTGAAGATATTTCAGATGATAATGATGATACAGAATCTAGTCTATTCGATCTTCCAGGTCTATCATTTCCAGTCTAAAACAAAATATATAAACATTTCACTAATAAAACCTAATAGATTTTTAAATTGAAAAAACTACAAAAAATTAAATAGATATTATATAAAGTTCAGTTTTATCGCTTATTACAAGTTCTTACTACATATCCTTCAGAACTGGTTAAACTTTGTAGACTGGTACTTCTGGAGCCCAGACTAACGTTTGATTTCAATTTGGTTTTATTAAAACTCTCAGCTCTTTGCAACGATGGGTGATTGTTTGGACTTAGATTTATATAACTATAACTAGAAGACGGAGTGGAAAGATTCAGAGAACTATTTGATGAATGATGAGTTGGCAAAATGACTCCGCCATATCCTGAAGATGTTCCACCATATGTTGTGAATGAATTTTGATAATTTAAACTGTTTGTAGAATTAGAATATGGATTTTTTCTAAAGGATCCGGTATTTTTTGTATTTTTACGTAGAAAACTTGGAGTGCCATATGAGTTTATATTATTAATCCCTAATAAGGTTGCATAACTATTTTGATTCAAAGAAAATAATGTAGGCACACTACGCGGTCTATTTCCAAAAATGGAACTTCCATTTGCAGATGCTTGAGCTCTTAAACCTGCAGCTGTTGTAGGCTTCCCTTGCGTTCTTTTTCTATACGAAGACATTTTCGCAATAAAATCTATACATATAATCTAAAATTAACACGATCACAACATTATATGCAATATATGACACAAATAAATTTTTTTTTTTTTAATATTACTGCATGAAAACAGTCTACTATTACTGACAGCAAGAGTTTGACTGACGCAGACTGGTTAGTGGAACTCAAGTCATCAGCCAGTTTACTCCACCGTGTTGCTTCTGTGATCTATTTATGGAACACATGCAGATACCCATACTCATGTCAAGGTTGTGTGTTTCTGGTCAACTACACAGTATTATTTGAGGAGGCTTCGAAAACGTATTATATTGCACAAATATCTCAGAAATATAATTAGTTACAATTCGTGCTCTAGATTAACAAATGAGGTTTATTGTACAAATATAAATGAAAATAGAAGCATTTAATATAATTCTTCATTTTTCTCAAAAATTTTCTACTAATAGAATATAATGTTTCCATATTTTTTCGATAAACTTATTTTATTACTTTTCTTTAAATTTAATAGTAATCTTTTAATCTTCTAAAATTAATTTGTTCTATTTTTTATGGTGAGCTTAAATGTCAAAGGCACATCAAGTTTCAAATGTCAATCGTATATTTTTAGAAACAACCAAAGCATACTCATACCATTTCCTTTTTCAACATCGTCTTCAATTTAAACGTAAACTGTTCAATATTATTATTGTAAATTGTACTATTTATATATAATATTCTATAAATAAAATGCATATATAACTTTTTAACAAAATTTAATTTTAAGTATCAAAAAAAATCTTAACTGCATCGTATTTATTCCATTAATGGTATTAGTTAAAGAGAATTATATGATATTAATATATTATAATAAGAAATAGTTATATAGATACGAGAAAACTATTTTTATCCAAGCAAACGTGAATTAGAGTTTAATCTTCGCAGAAGCTAATCTAAAAATAGGACAAAGCTTCTACGAGGCAGGACATTATTTACAATAATACACGCAAATTAAAAAATAGCTTATAAATATTCATATAAATATTTAGTTACATACCTCACTGTGATTTATTTTAGTATCCTCAAAATCACCACCAACGGATATGTCTTGTTTTTCAGGATCTATTTCCTGTAAATAAATATATACATATAAAAAATCATAAGCACATAAATACATTAAAACATACTTATAAAAAAAGAGAAAAATTAATTATCATGAATTATATTATATTATTATGTAGATAATTTATCTTTCTTATTAAATACAACCAATCTTTTAATGTTAATATTTGTTCATTCAAAATGGATTTTTTTATTTAAAAATTTGTTAAAATTAAAAAATATTACTAACATCCATATCAACATGAACGACACCCGTAGAACGTCTTTTAGGCCTCCTTCTCCTTTGTATAACTGCCTGTGTAGCTTGAGCATTTCTGCTATCATTCTCTTTATCTTGTTCTATAATGAATATAATATTTATATAATTATAATGAAATTTGTATATATTCGTTCAAAAGAGATAGATGGAAAAGCAAACGAGAATGAATCAAGTACTATGTTAAATATTATGTCAATGAGAATGTTAAATAAAGTTTTAAGTGTATCATATCTTTTAGATACAAATGTGATATTAATTATACTCCGTGAGTATTCACCTTTATCCTCTGATGGTTTCAATGATCGTCTAAGTGGTAATGTAACAGTAGTTTCTGCAGGACTCGGTGTGATTGTTTCCACGGGTGCCGATGATGGTCTGGGTATACCAGTTCCACCAGATGGTCTTCTCATATAAGTAGATGTAATGTCAGGTGACCTGTTATTTGCATCCTCTAACTGAAACTGAATAATATATTTAAATTTTGAATATTCATAAGTTAATTTTCGTTCATTTATCAATCTTTATTCAATAGTGCAAGTAATGGGTGCAAAATAAAGCAGATCGACATGATGGTAAAACCAGTTTAATTTTCTTGATAAGACTGATAACATAAGTACAAATTATGCAGATATTAGTTATATTTACATCATTTACATACTTTTATTATATATACAATTCTATCTACTTGAAAATATAGTGAAAGCCAAAGTTTTAAATATGAAAAGTAAAGATAAGATGTACAATAAAAAAAAAAGATACCATTTTATACAAAACAAAAATACTGTTTCTTTCATGCATTTTCTACAAAAACATCTCTAAATTAAATCTTTCCCATGTAGCTATAAATTAATATGTCGGCAGTAAGCTCGCATTATTTTTTTTCTTTTCTTTCATGTATATATACATATATAATTTATTATTGCATATTCCCTAATGAATCTATTCATTAATATACTCTAATTTTATATAATACCAGTGTAAATTAAACATTTATGCACCATAACTTAAATAAAAATATATTGCACATGGGATTTCTGTTTTACTTTTATAAAGCAATAAAGTAATAAATAAAAATAAATAAATATCTCTCAATAATAGTACAAATTTTGTTTTCTTGTAAGTTATAATTCAACATTCTTTAAATGTTATTCATTATAATACGTGAACACATGCTTTTTAATCACACTGACACTGCATGTTTTTTCTTTTTTTTTTTTTAACATAGCACATTAGATTTGCATTATAAAATTATGAATATAATAAAAAATAATACATACTGAGCCAAAAAAAAAACAAAAAGAAATATTCAGGCATGTACGCCCACACGTACCACCATATATATAAATTATATGTGTGTGCATTCGAGAATTTAGTTTGGAGAAGATCAATGCAATGTGTTTGCCTAGTCTGTCGATATATAAGCAAATATATAATACTATCAGTCAGTATCTACTATAATAACCGATTAGTTGTAATTCCAACCAATAATATGAAATATCCACGAACACAAATTTTTGCATTGTGAATTTTTAAGTGTATATACTTGAAGATTATGGGTATCACCGACCTTGCTTCCATTATCTACCCTGAGTCTCCAAGAAGGTCGCCTTTCAGGCAAATTAGATTCTTCAGAAGGTTTATTCGCAGTCACTGTAGTAGGAGTTGCTGTTGTTATTGTAGCTGTGATTGAGGCTGTATTGCTGACAGAAGCTGCAGGCTGGTTGGTTTAATAAAAAAATATGAATAAACTCATATATGTAGAATTTTGTTATGCAGAAGCTATCGACGCATACATGTAGAGTAGTATGTAAATATGAAATATATCTCAACTGTGTCAGTAAATTTTATTTTCGTGTTTAATTCTAAATTAAAAAAAGGGAAAAACTAGAAAGCATAATTAATATCAGTATTTGTCATTCAAAAAGTTATTTATGGTATTTCATGATCTTAGCAGAGGAGCATCACTATGTTAACAATGCAAAATGATAAAAAAGACGAACTTCTTCAGGAAACTATAAATTTTATCATTTCTCTTCTTTGATATTTTTTAAACAATAAAAATATAATATTGTTGCCATATATAAAAAAAAAAAAATGAAGATGTAATATCGTTACCTGCGGAGAAGGCGCTGTCAAACTAGACACTTCGTTGTTCTGTTGTTTTTTCTTTACAAGTTGTTCTGCACTCTTGATTTCATCTAATGTTACTCCCTGAGTTGAACGTCGAGTTTCTCTTACTCTCTTTGCATGCGCCTTTCTTTGTGTTTCGCTTTCTTCATCGCGAACAGGTGGGACAAAAGATCTGAAGAGAAAGAAAAATACGCATGATATAACATATATGTAAATGTACACCAATGCAATTTATATTAACTAAAAAAATAGTAAAATATTCATTTATTTACTACTCCTTCTGTCCCAAATTATGTCATACATTTCTATGCATTTTATTTGATTATTTTTTTATTTGATAACGTGTTGTTAACATTACAAAGCTATTTGGAGTCAATTATATGCATACAAGGTGGCAAAAATAATAAGATTAAGCATACAAATAAAAAGAAATTACTTCACGAGAGGTGTTTGTCAATATCTTTCAGGAGCAGTCAATGCAACGCAAAAAAATATCGTGTAATAAAATGATTAATTACTCTTTCTACATTAATTTTTTTAACTTCTCCCTAAATATTTTCAGTCAAAAGTTTTGTATACTATAATTTGGAACAAAGAGAGTATTTAGTTGTACATAACATAGAAATCAAAATTATTGTGATATTTATATAATAATAATAATAGTACTATATCATAAAGATTACATAATTTTATAATCATTTAAGCATTGTTTTAAAAATAATGTGCAAGCAATCATAGTGTCCGTGTATAATCCAAAATATAATGTTGCTCCCATTGCAAAAATTTTCGATGGTAAAGAATTTCTGTTCCTGCAAATCAATACCTACTACTTTTGTAAGAATCTTATTTTTTAAATGACTTTCTGTTTGTATGAAATATACGAAATAAATTTCTAAATTTATAGAAAATAAGTAAATGGAGTATGTATAAATATAAAAGACACGGAGGGCAAGGTATCACAAAAAAGAAAGAACAAACAAACAAACAAACGATACATTTTTCAATTGACAGAAAAAACTGACTAATAAGTTCCTCTGTTAATAAACAGAAATGAATATATGGGTTTTTAGATCTTGACTCCTATAATAAGATACTTGTCAAAATACATCATGGCCACACTGTACTTCTGTTAATCAAAATGTGACACATTACTTACTTTTATCAGTCATCTTAGATCTATTTATTGCAATGTTTCTAAATTCTTTTTGCAAATAATACGAAAATAATTATATGGACGAGAAAAAATTCAAAAAAAATATATATATAATGCAACTGAAAAAGCTAATCACACTGCAAAGCAAAGGTCCATGCTATTGTCAGTAAATTAATCTTGTGCGTATAGACATCTTAAGATACGCAAGATCACACTTCTCCAGAGAATTCCTCTCAGGTCAAACATTAGGTACCCACTTGAAGAAATTCTTGAAGATATTTCCTGGACTTAGCTTGCTCCCTCCAGGTGTGGTGAGAGTTCCAGATACTGGTACAGTATTGTTTGGACTCGATAGAAGTGTAGATGTAGCTTCCATTGGTTGAACACTAACCAGTCATATTAAATGATATTATAATGCATGGCGCGAGCATTATTATAATTTCAATCACGATAACTTAATTCCAGTTGTTCCAATATGATATAACCGTATTACATAAAGGAATTTTGTCTCTATGAAAAATTTCTTATCTCTCTTATAATTAATCATATTCTTCATCTAATCAAAAACTATATTTTTCTTGTCGCTACAACCTGGTGTTAATCTAAGAACAAACAAATAATTACCTGCGTATCTGATTCAGAGGAACAGGACTAGTAGCAATTGTCGTCGTCATTGTGTTGGCAGTTGTAGTGGTTGTAGTTGGCAGTGCACTTAGTGGTGATGTTTTAGATACAGATGTTGGTGAAAGTGTATTGCTTCCCTGTGGCGTTCTTGATAATTCCAAATTTAATTTGATTTCTTTTCTTCTAAACCCAAAATAAAAAGACAATGTAGAATGAAATATAATAACAAAATAAAACGATTCTAATTATTGTAAAATATATGACTAAAAATGAATTCTCAATTTCAATAATATAATAAATAATTCTTAGTAATATAAAATGATCTTCGTACTCTTTATACTTTATGTATTGTTCAATTGTAATTAATTAATCTTTATACATTTTTCATATTACTTTTAAAAGAAATAGAATATAAAGCAAAGAAATTATTGAAACCATCACCAAGCATAAAAAAAAAGCATAATAATAATAATAATAATAATTTTAAGTATACAAATTTTCAAATACACATATACAAGTATTTATGGTGCCGTATAGAAAAATTAAAATGTGCATTAAGAGAATATCGAAGAATAAAATATAAAAATTTATATATTAAATTATTATTAATCATTTAATTTATATATTATTATGTTTATCATTCTGTATATCATGTAAGTATAATGAGTATGTGTACACATTGTGTATCATAACACAATGTGGTTCAAAAAATATAAAGAATTTTGTTTAGTGTGATTTTATCTTATTTGTGATGTGATATATAATAATTAATATTGTGATAAATATTATGAAAATCAATTATGAAACATGCACTTGTACCTGTGTGTTTCGCGCAGAGATGCAGAACGTGTTGTAGCATTGGTATGAGTGGGAGAAACTGCGTTACAACGATGGAGAGTAGGGCAGGAAGATGCCTTGATACGAGCGTGTAATGCCAAGTACTGCTCATAGAACCTGCATAACATGCATCGTGCCATGCATATTGCTACACTAATTGTCTACATACAAGATACAGCACTAAAAACAAAACATTTACAAGATTTTGAATGCTTTTGAATATAAACAAATTTCTAACAATGATCCATCTGACAATCTATGAAAATGATCTCTCTATTATTATTTTCCCTTTTTTCATTCCATAATGCTTTCAATATTGATATTTATGTATATATAAATTATTCAAAAGCAATAAAAAAATACCTAAATGTTACATTTATAGTGCAGTATCTTGTATATTGAACACTGATTAAGATGAGTATAAAATTTAAATTATGTTAAAAAATATTAATCATATAACTAAAGACTCTTCTGAAATAATATTCTATATGAATAATTAATATTTTCATTGAGATTATAAATTTTAAAAAAGTAAGCTATTTCAATTAAATATACATTTTAGAATAAATTATTTATAACTTTCTCAAATTAAAATATAAAACTATACTTGTAATTCTACTAGTTTCAATTGTTTAATCTCTATGTGCAGTACAATACTCCGTATATGAATATATTAGATGTTGGGACTTTACATATAAGCATAAGTTGACATTAGGGCATAATTCTACAACATACTTTGCATAAACGAACATAAGCATGTTAACATAGACTTTATAATGGACAACCAGAGGAGCCTTCAAATAACAAAAAAGCATAAACGCAGATCACACAATGTTACATATATGAAGCTAGTAAAATATAGGCAATATAAAAATATATATTATATATATATTAAAATAATAGCAATATATATTAATGAACTTACTTTTCATCTGTCTCAAAACTGTGTGTTCTTCTTAATACTACCTCTGGTTCTGTCGGGAGTTTGTTTGGTGAATTCAGCAACTTAGTACTTTTGTCCTTATCTTCAAGTTCTAATAAATATATTTTTTATATTAAGATTATATATACTTATTAAAGATCATATTATAGATTTATACATTTTGTATATTAATCGAAGAATTAAGTAATTACCTTCTACATTTTGTATCCTATTTCGGAAAGAGCCGGAACGCCTCCAGGATGGAATAACTCCCTCTTCATTATTATCAGTTTGTTGCTTAGGGGGCAATACTGGAGCCTAATAAAAAATACATACAAATTAATAAAAAAAAAGAACATTATAAAATTTGTTCTAATTATATATTATAGATATTTTTGTTCTTTTAACTTACTTGATTAGGAACTTTATTAATTTCGATAGGAGATAGTGGAGAGTGAGTTGCAGTTTCCTCTTTGTTTACTCTATTTTTCTTCTCTACAAAATAAAGTAGAAGAAAATAAAAAAATGTATATCATCACATTTATTATCGACGCTATCAGTCATACCTAATTTTTAATTTATTCTCTCATGTACTTAATATAACATGATCTTTATCATGATTTTTTAAATTTCCTTTAATTTAAATGAAACATTTTATTTAGGAGAGAGTATGTACGATTTGTACATACGCTATTATTATTAACATATTAAAAATACTGTCTTACAGACAAAACTTACCATCATCTGTAAGACATGTGGAATGGTTTGATTGGTTAGACTTATCAGACTGATTGGAGCAGGTGGAAGAGCGTGATTCTGAGCTAGTTTCAGAAACAACTTCACCATCACTCTCTTCCATATCTGTTTCTCGTGTTGCTTCTATCCACGCAGCAATGTTAGAAGAATTGCAATGTTAAGATAGGTAAATAATCCTTATAAAAACAAACTATATATTGAATGTTCATTTTATCTATATCTATTTCTCTATTTTTTTTTTGTAAATCTTTTTCTAATGTTATCACTTTTATATCAAACTAACTCATTCCTAATAATGATTAAAAATCTTACCGACGTCGCTATTCGTTCCAGTACTAGAATCGTCTTTATCAGATTGAATCTCCACTTCTACTTTTTTAACTTTATTTGGTGTTTCCTCTTCTAAAATTTCGGGACTCTCTTGCGTCGTTACAGTACTATCAGTACTAGTTGAAATACTACACAAATTTTAATAGACATAAGTTTCTGCGCATATAATGTACATACTTATTCAATAAATATATCTTATAATATAAATGAATGTATATACAAACCGTTTCTTTGGTATAGAAGGTTGCTTTTTATTAATTATTTGTGGATGATCTTTCATTATAGTTGATTGTTTTTGTTTCAATTCTTCTAAATCTTTTAGAATATCCGCATCAGCAACATCGAAAGCAGTTTGTCCCTAATCAAATAAATATTACTATAAAAACAATCAAATTATTAGTATTTATGACACAAGTATTACTACTTACTGCATAATTTTTGATGTCCATATCACAAAAGTTATCCACAAGTAGTTTACAAGCTTCTAATTGACCCCAATGAGCTGCACCATGTAAGGGTGTCCATCCATCAAAATCTTGCATATTGACATCACATCGGGCCTGAAGGAGAATACTAAAACAATATAATTTTGAAGTATAGTTATTAAAAACAGGATAATATATTCTGTTTTACGTATTGAATTTATACTTGACATAAAATGGTATCTAGAATATTATTCAAAATATGAAATTACCAGTTTTCTTTTTTCAATGAAACTGTTAGATTACACAGGAATTGTTTTTCATCATAATATATGATACTTTACTTCATGACTTTGATGTAGCCTTTAGCAGCAGCAACATGAAGTGCAGTAGCTCCTGTTCTAGGATGCATTGAATCTTTGCCTGGCGCTCCCGATCTCCAAGCTCTTGCATCGTTTAACATTGACCTTTCTTCTTCGCTTCTGGCTTGATCGCAATCTATGCCTAAAGTAGATAAAGTGGTCAAAATAATATTTCAATTTATTTGGTATTTGCTTCTACAAATATATAAGAACAAACCTGCTTTATTTATATGTTGCTGTAGCATATCTTCCATCTCAACCTTTTCCGCAATATCAAGGGCCAATTCGCCATCATTGTTAACTGCTGCCAAATTGCACCCTTGTTCTATCAAGTATCTATATTAAATGATAGTATTATATATAAAATACGGTACTAAATAATTCAGACTTATACAAATAATTTAAAATGTATAACTACTGACTTGGCTATTGATATGAAGCCACAAGACGCTGTAGCATGTAAAGGTGTCCATCCTTCGTTATCCCCACGATTTATATCTGCTCCTTGTTCTACCAAAAATTCTACCATATCCAGGTCGTCGTCGATACATGCCTATAATAAAAATGTACATTTTGCTTATAAATTTATTCTTTTATTTTTGTTCTTCTTATAAATTAATAAACTCACAATTCTTATTTATTTGATCGATTAGTTTCATTACTTTGATATTTAATAAAAATAGGTCAACGCAATGCAATACATTTATACAATCTTATGAATATTATAAAAATATCAAAATTATATCATTATAATAATTTTATGTAAAGAAATTTGAACATAACAGGTCCCATCCAGGTCTTGTCAAAGAACTATTTATTACAACACTGCTAAAGACAGAGGATATAAGCAGAACACGAATGGTGAGGGCTGCGACTTCTAACAGAGAACTATAAATAGCATTTAATGCCTGATGTACTCTCATATGCTATTTTCGCAAATCTATGAAATGCCTAAACTTCCTTATAGAAACCATAAATAAAAGTAAACATTCCTGTAATTCTTACGTATTCTGGAGTTCAATTTTTTATGCTAAATGAAAATTTAATATATGTATTTATATATATATATATATACATTCATAGTATACTAAATAAAAATCTTAAGAGCATATAAATACATTTTTTAATATATACGTGTCCAGTTAAGAATTTGCAAAAAAATTTGATTTCTTGAATAATATAAAAATACAATAATTTCTTAAATGTAATTTTTTTTTCTCTCATAGAATGAATTAGAATTTTGAAGAGTCTCATATAAACTCATAGGTAGTATGAACGTCTTTTACAAAGTTATTTTTAGTCTCATCCTAATTTAAATCTATTTCAGAATTCTTAATCGATGTGGTTCTGTTACAGAGACTTCTTTTTTAAAAATTCAATAGAGTACCAATTAAGGTTCTGAGCGAACCAACTGAAAATACAATTTTTGCAATTCATTACTTTACAATTCAAACTTTAATTGTTTATTACGAAATATAAGTTCTATATTTTCAAGAAACATTTTAACCGTCAAAACTGTTGAGTAAAGTATCAGTAAACATATGATAAAAATAAATAATGAAAATTACTTGTAATTATATACGATAATTTATATTATTGCAAAATAGAAGAATATTAGATGGTACCTAAAAACTACGTAAGATTGAACGTCATACGATCATTGCCATGGAGAATTTGATTCCGGTAGATAGAGATGAGATAATCTTTCAAATTCTTTCCACGTTTACCGCCGTCGCTGTATAGAACTAAAGAAAGGCCATCATTCATAACATAAACAACATTCGAAAAAAAGACACGAAGTAGAAAGAAGGGACTAACGAAAGTGTGCTTTCATGAATTCCCCTAAAAACAAAAATATAAATAGTGACAATAAAATCTAAAGATTCATTCGTAATTGTACTCGGACAGTTGAAACTAGCAGCAGCCATTTTGCACGCAATGTTACATTACATCCAACAGTGAATAGAGAAAGAAAGATAGATAGAAAGAGAGAGAGAGAGAAGGATAGACAGATAAATAGATAGATAGATAGATAGATATAGATAGGTAGATAGATAGAGGGCGGTAAGACGAAGATGAAATCCAAGAATGAAAAAGAATGAGAACGTAAAATTAACATTTCTTTTTTTTATTTTCTTCTTTTTTCTATTTAAAATCAATCCGATCAAAAATCATAATCAAAAAATTATCAGGTTGGCGTGAAACGTAAACAACGGAAATGATAAAATTAGACAGAGAAGATGTCTTCTTACCTGGTGCAACGCCGTGAGACCATCGACGTTTCCGGTGTTGATGTCCGCCCCTTTTTGGAGTAAACGTACAACCTCCTCCTTGTCGCCTGCCGCACATGCCGCCAAAAAGACACAATCATCGGAAAATTTGATCTTCCTTGCTACCTGACGAGGTTGGGCCGGTTCCCGATTAGTTTCAGATTGTTCCCAACGTTTGAGCTGTTCGGCTCTTTTAAATAGAGCCGAGCTCGAACGAGTCTCGAGAGACATCGCCTCGGAACACGCACAATCGAGCTCGACAACCTTATAACCACTGCGCGTTGGTCTCTTTGCCTCCTTCCACTTCTATATCTATATCTATATCTATCTCTATATTTCTTCCTTTCCTTCTTTCTATCTTCCTCTTTCTCTCTCTCTCTCTCTCTCTCTTTCTTGTCTCCTCCTATCTGTTACTCTCGATCCTCTTCGTTCACTCTATCTTTTTCTTTTTTTCCTCTATCTGTCTATCTGTCTGCCTGTCTGTCTCGTTCTCCCTTTCTCTCTCTCTCTCTCTCTCTCTCTCTGTCTCTTTCTTTCTTTCTTGTCTTCTCTTCCCTTCTTTCCCTTCACTCCCTCTTGGACAATGTTCCGGATCTTCCACTTGGCGATATCACTTCACTTGGATTCACTAGGCCCAACTCAAGACGCTGAAATAAGCGTCCACCGTCTCTTGCCCCCATATACGAACTAATCGCAATCCGTGCGCGTCACCGTACGAAAGATCACTCATGAAATAACGTAAGTGGCTGCAAGCGGAGGGAGCGGTCGGTGGTAAGACAGCGCTCGGCCACGGGACGGATAAATTCGCTATTCTTGGTCCGCTACCGATACCCGAATCCGTCTTCTTATAGAGAACGACCCGCGATATTGCCAACCTCTTGTTCCTTACTTCCCTGAACTATGGACATTCAGGGAAACTAAACTTTTATATTAATATAAGAGAACACACAAAACTTGTCGACGCATACGCTAATGACACGGTATTGTTCGCACCCTCTGTCGTCAAATTTCATAGAAATATTTGAAATTTTCCCGCCGTTAGAATTTTGAAAGAAAAGAGAAAAAAAAGCATAACAAAAAAAAAATTACTAGTCCAACGATTTTCTCTTTTCTTCTATTTAACTCTTTCTATACAAAAACCGTATACATATGTATACCTTATATATACAGGCCTATTAATGTTTATCAAAGACGTATATATATGTACTTACATGCTAACAATATATATACGTCCGATAAATTTTTCTTGCTATAACACATTTACTGTTTGACTAAACTAATCTAATATAGCAATTGTAAATAGCTGAATATCGTCAATTGTTTCAAATTCGCATATTATTAATATTGTTCAGTTTTAATTTTGCTGTCACGTATATGAACAATACGTTTCATTGATAAGCATTTATGTATTGATCCAAATCTTAGAATATATCATTCACCGTTTTGATTATTAAATAGTTTACGTTATCTTTATTATTACGTTAACATTGTTAAATTAAATTTCTTTTTCATTACCAATTTCAAATTTCTTTTTCTCTTATATTTAATTACGTTTATATTTCCTTTATAAATATATTTCGCACCTATGTGAACGAAATATGCAATTAGGTCAATGAACATAACAACGTGCGAGAAACATGCGAATATCACGCTGTAAATATTAATTATTTCGTGCGAAAGTGAGCCGCGGTTCGAAGAGAAGCATACTCTCTCTTACTTCGTTTCAATAAAAGATAAGAATATAATTATTGAGTTGCGTCTTGTAATTAAAGGTAACAATTTATTGCGCTAAAAAATAATTTTGAATTTGGCGGGCAACTAGTTGCATGCAATGGTAAATAACCGTAGTATCTTCTTCCTGTTTGCATAATCTCCTTGTTTCCATAATAGGACGTTTTGTTCCATTTTTCGTTATCCGTGAATCTTAATAATAAGAAGTAAACGCAATTAATTTAAGTTAATTAATTATAGATATTACGTTATATCTTAAATAATACCGATTCTATATGTATAAGAGTTCTATTTTCAATAAAATGTGCATATATACCTGTGTGCCTGCATTACTATAGCGTGGAGAATAGACACACTAACAAACTGTTTAACAATGAGGGCGTAACCGATCATAGATCTATGCAACTGATACAACTTTTCTATATGAGTTTGGCCTCCCTGATATTTTTATGAATGACGTTTAATCGAGGAGGTTGGTAAAATCACCTTCGTGTTAGGGTATATCCTGGTGTAATACGCATATATGCTTGTCTCTACAGTTATCATCGAAAGAAAAATATTGTGACATGGAGAGTATATTTCATGAAAAGGTAAAAATTGATACGAACATATTAAATTGAAATAAGGTTATTAAATTTACGATAGATTTAATTGCAACCAGATTGTTTGTTGCAGCAAGAAGGATATTTGTGCGCGCAACATTGTTTGAACGCTCTTCTACAAGGTTCTTATTTTACCGCGGTAGATCTTGCTAATTTTGGTCATCAAATGGACGAGGCAGAACGTATTAGAATGGCCGAGTCAGGTATCGATAGCGAGGATTATCAACTTTTCCTAGAGGTATTTCATTTCTAAATAAATATATTTTTTAAATTACGTATATATATATATATATATATATATTCTCATTTTACAGTAGAATTTGAATTTAATGAACTGTAAAATTAATGTGCTTTCCAAAGATTTACCATTATTCAATTTTTCGTTTCAATTTTTTATTTTGAAATTGCAATAAATTTACATGATATATTTTATGTCACGTCTTCTATTTAGCAACCGTCCGAAAATATGGATGACAGTGGATACTTTTCCGTTCAAGTCATTAGCAGTGCTTTAAAGAAAGTTTGGAGTTTGGAGTTGGTTCCATACAACAGCACAGAACCTGCCGCAATGATGGCACAAAATGATCCTTCGTAGGTTATTATTAATTCCTTACTTGACACCATTTGCGATTGTTTTATCAGTAATAGCTTAGTGTCAAGACAATATTGAGATACTAACCTATTGATTCGCATCTTTTTGTAAACATATAGATAGCAAAATAAATTTACAAGACATGGATATCTTTCGGATACGTTACATAGTTATAGATAGTAAATGTAACTTGCAGGAAAATGAAAGCTTATATCTGCAATTACAAAGGGCATTGGTTTACGATACGAAAGATTGGAACACAATGGTTTAATCTGAATTCGATGCTCACCGGACCACAGCTTATATCAGACACATATCTAGCGATGTACTTGGCTCAATTGTTACAAGAAGGTAAATAATTTGTGGAAAATTTATATTACAAGTAATATATATGATAATAATTGATATTTCGTTTACAGGTTATTCGATTTTCATTGTTATTGGTACGCTTCCACAATGTCCTGCGGATGAAATATTAATGAAGAATCCAATAAAAATGCCACCAAGAACGAAGGAAAGTGTTAAAGAAGAGAAACCTATGACCACAGGATATCGCTTGGGTACCAAAGAAGAAGACGAAGTTATGAAGGCAGTTCGTGCTCTAGAAGAAATTAAAGTTCCCTCATCTTACACTTCTAATATGTCCTCAAAATTTATGAATTCATCCTCGGACCATAAAAAAAATAACTTGCCCAAAGAAGGGATATCGTCTAATGAAAAACCACGTGAAAGAATAATTCCTATAAGGATAGAAGGAAAAGATGATCTAGATGAAGAAAATGAGGAATTGCAAAAAGCATTACGCTTAAGTTTACAAGATAATGAAGATGACATAGACAAGAATCTAAATTTAAGATTGGAGTCTCATGCTGATAATAAGATATCACCATCAACAGAAGTTGATGATACGGATCAAGATGATGAATTAAGGAAAGCCGTACAATTAAGTCTTGAATGTGTAACAGCTCCACCAACACCAGATTTAGAAGATTTGCGTTGGCGTCGATTAAGTCATTTTGGGGTATACTCTAAAACATCAAATAACGAAACTTCTCCAAAATTAAATTCTTAATAATAAATATTAATATTATGATAACATGGCTATTAAAAAGATTTATCTTGTAAATTACAAACTAATTGTTTAGAAAAAAAGAGAGTGTCATTTTATGTACTAACAATTAAAAATCTAATGAATGTATAATGAATAGATCACGCGCTAGCGTGGAATTTATAAACAGCACATATGTAAATACGAAGTATATATGTATGTATGTATGTATGTATATATATACACGTACCACAAATTTTTTTAATAGTTATGTTTCTTATATTTTTCTTCTAATTTTATTATACTCTGACTGTTCATAAAATAAACATGTTCGGACAATGTAGTTCTGTTCTTATTTACAATCAAATTGAACAAAATAATCAATTAAAACAATTTATTGAGTAATAGTTATTGTAGACATTTGAAAATAAAGATAATATTTTTGCACTTTGAAAGAGTTTTGAGGTTGAGATGATTGGTATGTGTACCAACTTTTTGAATCTACTGTGTTTGTCTGTTATTATTTTGTCCAATTTTATTCTCCCAATGTCAATATTATGAAAAATGATTAAAATAATATTTCGAATGTTACGATTTTCCTTTTAAAAATATTAATTTTGTAAAAGAATATATTTATTCTTTAATTATTCGAAAAAGAATATAAGAAATTTGTGTTTAGTCCAGGCGAAATTAAAGTAAGGAAGCAACCAGTAGGCTGTGGACGAAGATTTTGCCGCAGTTACTCCTGTTTTGTGTGTGAATGCTGAATGTTGACATTCAACATGGCGGCATGTCGTCAGTGCTGTGCTGTGTCGTGGTGAGTTTTGTAAAATTTTCTACCGCCGTAAGATTACGAGCTTTGTTACGAATTAATCTAAAAAGATAAAAAATTGACATTTCCGATTATGATGTTGATATTCTTTAAAATGAGTTAACAACGGCAGTGTTACATTATTGAGACAAATTGAGGGACTATAAAAAATTAGAATCTTGTAACTAGCAAGCATATACGATATCTCGACGATCTGTTTTTCGGGATAAATTAATGAGATGAATTTTTCGATTAGTGAAACTATATTTAACTTCATAAATAATAATTTAGAGAATTTAATCATTTCTTTATTTCTCTTAAATCGATTCAACCGCGATAGTATACATATTCTATTTCAAACTATCCAAAGTGTTTAAAAGTTATTAATAAAGTTTTCATATATCGGCTCGATGAAGAGCAGTTTTTAAGTCATTATGTTTGCTTCTAATATAATAAGAAACAAAGCACATGATGTTTGATTTTTAAATAAGAATATTAATAATGTAGGAAAAAAACATGACACGATTACAGATTTTGATTATATATATAAAAACGTTAATATTGTGTTATTTTTTAGTTAATAGGTAATGCATATAGGTTATGTATTTATTATAATAAGAGAAATTAATATCTATTGTAGAAAAACAATAAGACAGGAACTTTTAATAAGGATTCAAGTAAAAATTGATATTTAAGACATACTATCCAATTAAATCAGTTTTTAATTACTCGGATCTTTTAAATGAAATGTTAATTCATCCATAATGTGATTTTAATATTTAAGATACAAATGTAATTGCTAAATAAATGATACAAATGTTGTAACAAAGCTCGTAGCATTTAAAGTAGGTTAAAGTAGTTTTGATAAAGTACGTTTATTGATCAGGTTTTTGTTTTTTCTTTCAGCTTGTGTAATTGTTAGTTTAGGACATTTTTGAAACCAAGGCTCACTGTAAATTTCACATTTAAAAGTTGAAGAAAAAAAACGTTAATATAGAAATATTGGAAAACACAATCACACTCAGCACGCATTGAAGACATCTGAGGATTTTCAAATCAACAATTATTGTTTAAATTTCCTATGTTTTTGATTTACTCCTTTTATAAAGGATGACTGATGTTTAAAGAGAACACGGTTATTCTAGTGCACGCTAAATTGAGTAACTATCGAAGAATTGTTACTATATTAAAACATACACACGTGGAAAGTATCAGCAGTATATGATGTGCTAAGAATTTTGTACTTATACTAATTCGTAATCTATATTTACTGCATTATTCATTTGTATATTGTGTACACAAGAAAACTTGTGAGAAAGAGTTAGGTGAGCCATATAGTGACTGTAATAGTGATCGCGGCTGAGATTGTGTTGCTCTGCTTGGTTAATAGAAAATTCATATCCACATTTGAGGTGTCTCTAGAATACGGAGCTACCTTGAAATCGTTCAAATAGCAATACACGACAGGTGTAAAGTAAAATATTGTGGAACTATCTCTCTTGTGTTTCTTGTCTATCACGAAAGACAGGAGATTACAGAGGAGTTTGCGATTCTACAGCATTAAACAGCCTCTCTTCCTCTTCATTAAGTTCTTATAACATTATAATAGTGAACAAAGATATAAAGTACCAAGAACCGTTCTGTGATATCTATATTTTATCTGATATCTGTTAACATTTAAATGATTGAAAAGACTAAAAATTTGTAAATGTAAGTATATATATTATGGTGGAGCAGAAGTGAAAATAAAAGGAATTAAATAATTATTTCAAGAGAAAAGGAAAATTATACGTAAACATTATAGATAAAACTGTGCAAATTTAAAACAATGTCCAACAATCCTCAGTGGAAAACGTTCCAGCCGCCAATCATGAACTCTGACCCGGCAATACTTGACTACAAGTCTATGGCTCTACCGAGTCCCAAAGTTTTATCAGGATCTCAGCAACAAACAAGTAACAATTATAGAAATGGTACTAACTATAGCGGTGATAATTATATGGGTTCTCCTCCTGGATGTGGTAAAAATGCTACCACTACCGCTACTACTACTACCACTTACGGAGCCACAAGATTTTCTTTTGGGTCATTAACAAATATGGAAGGAAATGCAGGTTATGCTGGTGAATCTGCTACCAATAATACCACATACCAAGATCAGTCTGCAAATCAGGGAACCCGTGAAACTGGTATAATAGAAAAATTATTAGTAAGTTTATTATATAATTTGTATCATTTATTTGGCTCATAGTTTTAGCATTGAATCCTTTTTTACGTTGAAATATTTTTTATAGCACTCGTATGGATTTATACAATGTTGCGAAAGACAGGCAAGATTATTCTTTCATTTTAGCCAGTTTAGCGGAAATATAGAACATTTAAAAATTGGGGATCCAGTAGAATTTGAGATGACTTATGATCGAAGAACAGGCAAACCTATTGCTAGTACTGTCAGTAAAATTGCTCCCGAAGTGGTAAGTGCATGTAGTAAATGGATGAGTATTTTCTTAGATGCTCAATGAAGCTTAAAGTAAAATTAATATCAATTCTTTTGGAGTGACTATTTAATCATTTGTTATAGGTGTTAAGCGAAGAACGAGTTACTGGTAACGTGACGACAGAGTTACAAGCCAGTGGTGATTCACAAGGTCGAATTAGTTATGAAAATCGAGGGGAGTGTTTCTTTTTGCCGTATACCAAAGATGATGTAGAAGGGAACGTCACTTTGCGTGCTGGTGATAAAGTGTCATTTCAAATGGCTACTAATCAACGGTATAAATAAATATATTTATTTATAATAAACAATAGTTTCTCTTTGAATTTATCAATTTAGTAGAATAACTTAATGAATTTAATTACAGAGGAAATTTGGGTGCGTGTCATATACGATTGGAAAATCCAGCACATCCAGTACGTTATCGTGGTGTAGTTTGTACAATGAAAGAAAACTTTGGCTTTATTGAACGTGCTGATGTAGTTAAGGAGATATTCTTTCACTTCAGTGAAGCAAAATCCATGAAAGAAGAACTTAAATTAGGAGACGATGTTGAATTTATAATACAAACGCGAAATGTAAGACTCCTGTTGCAGTATTATGCTTTATACAGGCATAATGAATTATTTAACATCCGAACCTGATATATTATTCTTCCTATTCTTTAAAGTAATGATTCATATATAAATGTTAGATAACTAATTCTGTATAATTAGCGAATATATTTAAAGATAAATGTTATTGTAATTTTGATTAAACTAAGTAACTGTTTATCTTGTACAGGGCAAGGAAGTGGCATGTAATATTACTAAATTACCACCAGGTTCCATTATATTTGAAGAAGTTAGTAACGAAGTAATAAAAGGACAGGTTTTAAAACCATTAGAAAGAGGTAATGCAGCACGTCATCACAATGATCCATTACCTGGACGAATTCGATATAGAGATTCGGATCATTGTGAAGTGGAAGTTCCATTTGGTGACAAAGATCAAAAAGGAGATTTCACGCTTAGGTAGTGTAATTATATGTTATAATTTCATTGGAATATAAGATTCGTTTATATCCAAGTGCGAATGGAATTAAGAAACGGAATTTAAATTTTTGTTTGAACAGGCACGGAGATTGGGTCCAGTTTCGTATTGCCACAGATACTAGAGATCAATTGAAAAGAGCTACAGAAATATCGCTTTTACCAGAATCATTTACTGTATCTGGTGAAAGACGAGAACAAGGTACTATTTCAGCTCTTAAAGATGGATTCGGCTTTATACGTTGCGTAGACAGAGACAATAGACTCTTTTTTCATTTCAATGAAGTTCTTGATGTTGATAGAGAAATTACTGTAGGCGATGAAGTTGAATTCACTATTGTACAAGTAAGTTGCATATAATATATACGATATTTAAAAGGTAATTACAAGATAATTACCTGCATATCGTTACTCGACTTAATTTAGGTTCCTACATTTTGTTTCGAGGATCCTTCATCATCGTTTTCATACACTCGACCTAGTGCTATCAGATTGAAACATTTACCAATCGGTACTGTCCAATTTGAAACGATTATAGAAAAGGACTTGATGGGTAACGTGGTAGAAGATACGAATGGTGTTCAACGAGGTTTAATCGGGTATACGAAAGATAATCAACAAAACGTAATCATGTTTTTTTCTAAGGATTGCGATTCTAAAAATATTCCAAAAGTGGGTGATAAGGTAAGATTTTGACTAGTATTTAATGTAATTATTATGCTTGGATTGTACCTAATCAAATATTTACGTTTATGTTAGGTTCACTTTAGTATTTGTCAAGTTAAACGGAACAAAGAATTAGTTGCCGTTGATATATCAATGGTGAATGCTGCTGGTGAAAAAATACAAAATGGAAATAAAAAGGTGACTGGTCAAGCTTATCAAGGTTTTATAGCTGCTCTCAAAGATGGATTTGGATTTATTGAGACAGTCAATCACGATAAAGAAATATTTTTTCATTTCAGGTAAAATAATATAATATATTTTTATCTCTACATATACCTATTATTATTAACACCTTATCGAGGGGATCATAACTTTAACTAAATATCAAATCACGTTAAATAATTTTGTCATTAATTTGAATAACTAATTTCGTTGTAGTAACTTTGAAGGCGATACTGGGAACTTAGAATTAGGAGCCGACATTGAATGTATAGTAAGTTCTAACAACAGTAGAGGTTCTGGTGGATGTATCGCTGCTGATTATGTCAAGCTTGTAACTCGTGGCAGTATTCCCAGGCCTACAGCAGTCAGTGAACTACTCGACGGAGTTGTAACACGACCCCTGCGTAGCGCAAATCCCGAACAGAGTGAATATGCTGGTTTAATCAAGATTAATCCAACAAACGAGGAAGAAGAGACGCAAGAATATGAATTCGGTATAATGGGACTTGTCAACAAGCGTGAATTATTGCAGATAGGTGATCCTGTCCAATTGCAAGTTGATTCTGCGGGCCATGCTTGTAACATAGTAGCTATCAGGAAAAAGAGAAGGGCAACTGTTGATGCAGTGAAAGGTCCATTTGGTTTTCTCGCTTATGAAGTCGACGATGGTAAAAAGCTCTTTTTCCATATGAGCGAAGTACGAGATCACGCTACTTTGCAGCCAGGAGATCAAGTAGAATTTGCTTTGGTTACGAATCAGCGTACTGGTAAATCATCAGCCTGCAATGTAACTCGTCTAAGGTAATTCATTACTTCATCATGATATAATAATAATAATAATAATGATAATCATTTTGTATTATTTGATGTAATATATTGTAATAATGTCTATCAGTGACGCGGTTCAACAACGACCGGAGCGTTTAATCAGCCGATTACGTACCATTTCATTGGAAGATACGGGTCCGAAATTAACCGTAATCCGACAACCTAGAGGCCCGGATGGTACACGAGGGTTCAGCCAAGAAAGATCACAACACATCCCCGGTGCCATCGAGGAATAATGTCATAAACAGCGTAATTATTGCGCTCATACAAAATTGTAATCTACCATAACTTGTTTTTAATTCACACAAACAAACAAACAAAAAAACACGTACACACACGTACACGCATACTCCGATACAGAGATTATTATTATAAGCATGATCTTACAAACATTTGCCAAATCGAGACTAATGTGACAACAATAATTATTAACAATAATAATCAGTGAAATGAGTGGTGATGATGATCTTTTCGACAGATGGAAAGCATATGAAAAATAATAAAACAACGAGCCATATTAACGTGTTAAAAAAGGAGTAATTATGAACGACGATATAATTATATGCCCGATCTTTAATTAGTGTAAGAATCCATTTGAAAAAAAGAAAAAAAAAATTAGTTTATGTTTTTCATTCAATTCATTTTCGACGCTTCTTAGCATTTCCGTAATACGCCCTTATTACTCCCGTTAAGTTTGAACCGTAAACTTATTTTAATAATGGCGCGCGCGTTTATTGGTACAAACAAATCTCACAAAGGAAAAGAAAAAAAAAAAAAGAACAAAAAAGTTATTTGATTACGATATTACTAGTAATGATTAATCGATCGATTATAAACATGTTCTGTGAACTGTGTACAGCCCGTGCTTAGATATATCGTAACGAAAAAGAAAAGACAAAACAAAACAAAAATTCAATACCGTGATGAGAGAAATGATAAATGCATTGGATTACAAAAAAAAAAATTTGCTTGTTTCTGATGTTCTTAGACAATGTCCTGTCTGTCTTTATAAAAATATACTTACATGTTGATACAATCTTTATTTATATTATTTTATTTAGACTATTTTATCTACCTACACATAACTGAAACTTGTTTCGAATAATAATCGTCAATGGGACAGTTTGAGCTTTATTGAAACTATTTGATAAAAGATACATCGATGAACGATAATTAATTGACCAACTAATAACAAACAATTGACACGGATCGAACGATCATGCGGTTAACTAGGGGGAAAAAGATCAATTCATTTTATGAATCATTCATCAACAAAATTTAACGATACGATTGATTGATTTCATCGTAAGGAAGGGAAAAAATTAAAAGAGAGCGAGAGAAAGAGAGAGAGAGAGAGAGAGAGAGAGAGAGAGAGAGAGAGAGAGATAGAGAAAACATACAAATATGTATTTTCTTGGTAGAAATTATTATATCACATTTTTTCTCTGTTAAACAAATGCCTAGGAATTTGTAAAAAAAAGAAAAAGAAAAAAAAAGGCAAATTATATCTGGCCAATTATGTTTGTCCTAAATGATATATATATATATGTATATATATATATATATATATGTATGTATGTATCAGTAATTACGACATGTATATTAAGTAAGTCCAAAAATAAAATTAAACAAATTTACATCATGATGTTTTTTATAATATAAATAAGCGTAGTGCAAAATAAAACAAAAGTCAATGTTTTTAATGCTTTAACTTAATCCACTGTCATAATTACTGGCACATATATATATATACACATATACATATATATATTATATATATATATATATAATATACATTTCGGTAAGTTCCTAAGGCAGTCTCGTGTTGTAAAATCAAATCAGTATTGTAAAATTCAACGAAAGAAAAAAAAAACATTTAACATTATTCGTGCGAGGAAAAAAAATTTCATTTGTATATTTGTCCTTTCTTTTCTATTTTTTTTTCTTTTCTTTTTTTTTTTTTGTGGTTCTCATTTGAAAACAATAAATGAGATATACGTGGCAATATAATTAGCAATAGGTGAGAAAATAAAACGTAAAGAGTAAAAAAAAGAAAAAGAAAGAAATAAAATAAAATAAAATAAAATAAAATAAAATAAAATAATAAAAAAAAAATTAAAAGGAAATTAGGAACAAGAACGAAATACGCTTGTTCTATGAGAATCATAGATTTCAACACATCGTGTGTGCATACATATATTGTAAAATTATTAATGAATAAATGATAAAAATATTAAGTCTATTATTCTCTTATATTGTAGATCTCTCTCTAAGTAAACACTTATTAATTTGAACAAAAGAATGAATCATTTGAAGAAAAAAAATATTCTCGTGAGTAAGAGAGAGAGAGAAAGAAACAGAGAAAGAGAGGGAGAGAGTAAGAAAAACTAGTTTATTGTGCCATTAGTTAAATGATTGTACATTGTATTCCTCTCTCTCTCTAGAAACAAAAAAACAAAACAAAAAAAAAAAAATTTAAAGAAATAATAAAAATATGAAAATATTGTTATCGCATGTTTATTATGTATGTACAAAGATGTGTATATTATTCGAAAATATGTATGGAAGAATATCTATGTATGGTACTCGCTTTTTGTACTTATTGTCAAAACGTAAAGATTTCAGATTCGCAAGTTTCGATGGTATAAGAAAAAAAAAAAGAAAAAGGGAGAAAAGCAAGAATTTTTAATTATCAGATCACAACACACTCGTAGGGAAATGGTCCACGGTAACGTAGATTGTTGGGTGCAGGACAAGCTGTAAAAAACTCGATTAGATATTATCGTATTTTTCTATTGATTAATTTTTCTTTTCTTTTCTTTTTTGATTTTAAAATGATACTAACGTTTTTCACAGCGTGTACCGAAATATCCTGTACCCTCGCATCGACATTTGAATCCTGGATCGGCTGAAATTTGCGAACAAGAGCCACCGTGCAAACAGGGATTAGATCTGTAGCATGTATCGTTGAGTCTGCCTATAAGGAATATGAGAAAAACAATTTAGAAAATTGATTTTATGTTTAACATTTAATGCGGACCAAATGAACATTTTTTTTATTTTGTTTAATATTATTTTGTACTGAGATTATTAGAAATATCTCTGAATTTATTTCATCGTTATATCATAAAAGAGATCTCTAAGATCGATAGAATTAGGCCAAATTATGCAAGAAAAACAATTGGCAATGGTTAGATGATTCGAACATTTTTGTTAATAATAATAATAATAATAATAATAATAATAATAATAATAATAAAAAAAAGAAAAAAAAAGTTATTCTTTTATTTCTACATTGAATAATTTACTTTACATATTATTTCTATATCAATTTGAAATTTATTTTCAACAGAGTTAATAATATAATTAATATTATATAAACTTTCTTTTTGATGAGGTATTAATTCTTTGGTAATTTTAATAATTGTAGATAAAATTATAATGGGATTGTGTTTAATTAATATTGAAAAGTTTGTGTAAATCCCTTTTTTGCACAACTTGGCCTAATTTTACTTCTCATTTAAAATATCAACTTTTATTTTTAATACATATTTGATTAAAAACGAGCGATTAAAAGTTAACAATTAAATGAAATGAACAATCGTTACCTCTCAATGCTAATTTACAGTCTTCGTTACTATCGTATCTATATTCAGCCTTACAACCATAACCGCAGCTACATTGGGCATTATAAATCCGACATCCGTATCTCATCTGATCCAGTTCACATGCTTCTGATAATGAACCTGTTACATGAAACAACAGAATTAACAATAAGTGATAGCATTACCATGTAATGCATTTATTACGTGTATATTGTCTTGGTCTAGATTTTTGCTTTCTTTTTTATTTTTTTTCTTCGTTTCATTTTTATTATAAATTAGATATATACATATATATAGTAGATTGTTGTTTGTGCTACCGGATACAGGCTACTGCACTTCCCACTTGTCTAAATTGATAATGGCCTTTCGCAGATAAAAGATATACACGCGTGGATAAAATTATTCCCTTTTATTCTTCTCCTCTTATTTTTTTATCGTAAAATTAGAAAAAAAGAAAAACTTAATTAGTCGACTCAAACAACAACAAAATTATATATTTCTAAAATCATTGATTAAGCTAAAAAAAAAAGAAAAGAAAACGAAGCTTAAGTTTTATTCTTATAATATTTTTCTTCGTGACTAGTATAAAAACGAATCAAGAATAAGTATAATACTTATCGGAGAGAAATAGTTATCGAAAGATTATATTCAAAGTAAACCGAGACCTCAATGTATGATCATGATGATGATGATGATGATTATCATAGTTTATTTCGTAGATTAAACTCGCGAGAAATATTATATATATATATATATATATCTATGCAAGTAGTAGTTGATATTATAGTCTTTCGAAACGTGCCTCTATCTTCTCCGCGTATAAATAGCTATTAATCTCGCACTATATCTTCGAGGAAACGAAAGAAAACAACGATCTCAAGTTTAACGACCCCTTTCCTTTCATTCATGATTCGAACGTTTTCTAATCAATCATCGACTTCTCGATGTGCAATCCCTTCTTCGAGTGCATTCACTAAAATTCATATTTTTTATTTAACGATTAATTTTTGAACGAAATATATAAATTATTTTAATTAATATTAAACGGTACCAAGAGACCGATCAAATGACTAGTTTTTATAATTTTGTATTTTAATTCTTCGATATGGTTTTCAGTTAATATATATATATATATATACTGTTACAATTAATATTTTAATTTTATTTAATTATTAAGGATCAGTTATTT